TAGGTCTTGTTTAGGTTTTATGTCTGTCTTTGAATTTTGACTTTTAAAGTGATTTTATTCATTTTTAGTTTAGTCGAACTGATGATGGAGCTGGACTCCGAAACGTTTTCAATATCGATATGGTGAATTTTCTTGGCGTTTTCAATATCGATATGGTGAATTTTCTTGGCGTTTTCTTTGCTTTTAAATTCCTTGTAGTATGATGTTCACTTTGAAAGTATTCCACCTAAATATATACATATATTTTTTATGCATCCAACAGATGAATGGCAAATTTTTAAAATTTTATCATATTTAGTTATTTTGTATCTTCTTTGTTCTAGAAGTTTCTGGTCCAATGAAGTACCTATATTGTTGTAATGTAGACATTTCATTTATAGAGCCACTTAACAATCAAGTCAGTGTTTGCAATTGTAATTGAGACCTTTGTGGAAAGTCTGATGAGTTTTTTTAGTTCCATCTTCTGCCTGAAGTGAGTAATTAAGTTAAGCCTAATTTCCTACTTAATCAATTAATAATTTTTTACTCAATTAATAATAATTAATTAGTATTAATTAATTTCAATTACTTATTCAATTAATAATTTTTTATTTAAGTAGTTTTAGTGTAAAATGATCAGCTTAAGACTCCTCAAGTTTTTTATTTTGGATTTTGAAATCTTGTGTTGCTAATGGATAAAAGAGTTTTAGCAAACTGAAATGACAGAGGAACCAGATCTAATTTACTCTTACATGTGAATTTTAGTATTTCTAAGAAAAAAAACTAAATGTAAATAAGAAAAATCATCAACTCCTCACTAATTTTTCATTTTTCAATATGTCATGGTGTTAGTAGATGTATAAGTCTTCTATCATATCCCTTCATTTACTGTAAATTAATATAACTTATGTTAGCAACTCAAGCTTTCTCATTTGTAGGAAGAATATACTTATGTGTACAGCAATCCCTTGATTAACGCGGTTAATAAATCCCCGAGTTTTACCGTGTTAAGCAAAACCGTGCTAATCAAACTTAAGAATATATGGGAATAATTATAATGAATCCTCAAAAATAGCAAAGTTACATAATAGTTTTTTTTCCACTAAAATTCATCATATTTTGCTTAGTTCAATTTATCATTCAAGCTTAGTCTCCAAAGTGATATTTTTACGTTTAAGCGTTCCCTTTTTGTCCGTAATTATGACAGTAATTTATCAAGGAAAATTATCTAGTTTGATAAAAGTGAGCAGTAGATATGGCAGCGATCTTGACCAATTGAAGGCTAACGAGTAACTAGAGCACCAGCATGGCGCACTTACCGGCGAACATTGCCAAACTCTACCATTCGAGTTATGAACGAGACAAGGCGCGGTTAAACTGACTCTGTAGTCAGCACGAGTGCCTACGGAACAGGACCTTTTTTAAAGAATTATTGGCTGAAATTCATAAAGTAACAACATTTGGCAAATTTTTCCAAAAGTCGTAACAAAAGTAACAACATAAGATCTAATAAGCAAAAAGTAACACTTTTGTTACAAACGTAACACCTCTGGCTAGAGGGGGAAAATGATGCGTTGTGAAAAAAAGTCATGCTAATCAAAACTGGCACTGCGTAGATTGAGGGTAGGGCGCAAATTTTTTTTTTCACGTTAATCAAAACCGCGGTATTCAAAACTGTGCTAATCAAGGGATTGCTGTACTTGAAGTATATATACTGTACTATCAAAGTAGAATTGTGTAACTAATTTGAATTGGTATTTTGGCAAACTCATTCAGGCACTAGAAAATTTTCCTTATTTCAAGTCAATGACATTGTGCCTAGTTTTGTAATGATTGAATTTAGTTCAATAAAGACAGGCTGTTTCTACAGTCTATCACCTCCTCCAATAAAACTAATGTACCTTATAAATGGAATTGAAGAAGAACATTCTGATTCAATACTACAAGAGTAGGCATACCGTAAAATGGGGTAACTTAGACCGGCGGGGTAACTTAGACCACTTTTCGTTTTTTTAACAAAAACCCCCACAACTCAGAAACTATTTGACATAGAAAAATTTTGTCAATGGGCATTAAAGGCCTAATACTGAGGCTACATAACACAATAGAAAGATTTGAAAAGTTTGCATATCTAATAGGTTAAAAAACTAAAAATGTGACCCATGAAAAAAAGCTACCTATTATTTAAAGCCTGTCAGAGTACCCCCTCTAATTTTTTTATTTTTTGGTTATATAACTCCAGGTTTTGATGCATTGTAGTAGAACTCTTCTAGTTACATATGCAAATGACAAAACAATGCACCAAAACCTGGAGTTATTTGGAGTTATTTTACCAAAAAATATAATTGATTTTACCACCCGGTCTAAGTGGTACCCCAAGAGCTGGGGTAACAAAGACCATAATTTTTTTTAAATTACATAAAGACGATGAGAGGCAGGAGCCAGCAATTTATGGTGAGTGAAGCTAGAGTATAGACCTGTATTTTGCATGTTTCAATTCAAGTATAATTTAGCTAGTAAAAAAATGGCATCATTTATAAAAGAAAAAGTGGTCTAAGTTACCCCATTTTACGGTACGTATATACGTAATCAGTTTTGTGTCTTATATTGGAAGATATCAGTTCATTACAGTGGCAACTGGCAGCATGGACACTCCTATATTATTGGTGCTAAAGAAGGACTTACTCGAGTAGTCCTACTGTTACATGCATTTTTGACTACCATATATTATGGAGAATATTTTCTCATTTGTTACTTTGCTCCTTGATAGCTCTCAGTGATTTTAAAATGTGATGTATATACATAAATGACCACTCAGTAAATGCACATTGCTAATGTTAAGCATGATTTTTTCATTGTATTGAGTCTTTGCCAAGTAGGTATGTATATAAGTTGATATGTAGATATATCCTTTTTTCATGGATTTGATCAAAGTATGATATAATTTGGATTTTGGTCTTATAAATATACTTACCATCTTAATTTTTCCAGTATACTTGTTATATATGTTTAATGTGTAAGCAATTTTATTGATCAATTTTCTTAGACTTGTAATTGATGATATTAGAAAAACTATCTTAACTGAAAGTAAAAGAATGTAGAAAAAACCTTGTCCTGCTAAAAGTTGAATCAACTTGAATAATTTCATTGATGTTTCAGTGGTGCTAACCGTGTGGGAGTCTGCCACTCAAATGTTGTTGAGAGTGAAGGGCGTGTGTGGGTTGAGGTGGGAAGCTGTGGCAGCGGCAGGCAGAAGGAAGGCCTCAAGCTGCGAGTGGCTCACCTGCACCCTGAGAATCCTGTCATAGCCCCTGCATTACAGGCTTACAGGCTCAAGCATGGCAGCCAGAGTGTGGACTTGTCTGAAGACAAGGTAAAAACTTCTCTTATGATTTAGATCAGTGGTTCCCAAAGTGGGCGATATCGCCCCCCTAGGGGCGGTGGAAAGATTTTGGGGGGCGGTAAGGAAGCAGAGGGCGTTTGGGGGGCGATAGGGGGGCGGTAGTCCGAAGTCGAAGTCAGAAGTCCGAACGTTTGTTTGACGATTTGTACACAACACGTGCAGCACATAATGACTCCCAGCGATGGTTTTTTCACCCAGATTTGTTTTTTTAACCTCTCCTGGGTTTACGTCTCGGGCAAATTAACGGCCGGACTAGCGGCCGATCTCACGGCAATTTCCAATTCAATGTGCAAGTAATATCTCCCAAACTAATGAACTTAACTTGATGAAACTTGGTACACGTATTCATTTGGACCTAACAATAATGTTAAGCTTGTGAATTTTTTTTAAATTTCGCCTTCATTTGTTTTTGCCATAGTTATATGGCAATACGGGCCAACATTCACAGAACCGGATAATCAAGAAATTTTTTCCAAGCTACGGAGCAGATTCGAACGAAATTTTGAATTTACAGTCCTAACTACATAACGTTAATGTTCAGCTCCAGAAAATTTATTCGATTGTGCCTTTGTTCGCGAGTTTTTTTCCATTTCGCCTTCATTCGTGACTTAAACAGCAATACGTGCTTAAATTCGCAGTAATCAAGAAATTCCTTCCAAAACTACTGAATGGATTTGAACGAAACTTAGTATTTAAATACCTGACCTCAGCAACGGTGATGTTTAGCTTGCTACAATTTTTTCGTTTTGCCTTCGTTTGCGAGTTATACGGCTATACTTATACGGATTTATGTAAACGGCTCTTGGTTAAACCGGCCGGTAGAAAAGCCGGTCGTTCCTCCTATATCTGTATAACTCGCGAACGAAAACAAATAGAAAAATTGTCGCAAGCTAAACATCACCGTTGAGAGGTTAGGTATTTATATACAAAGTTTCGTTGAAATCTGTTCAGTAGTTTAGAAGAAATTTCTTGATCGTCGCGAATTTAAGCGACAAATTATCCGGCGATACGGGCCGAATATAAGGAAGTGTGAAATCAAGAATGACTGTGAAATGAAAAAAAAAAACGCAAACGAAGGTAAAATCGAAAATTTTTAAAAGCCAAAAAATCAACGCTTGGTAGTTAGGAATGTATATTCAAAATTTCGTTCAAATCTGTTCAGTAGTTAAGAAGAAATTCTTTGATCACTGCGAATGAAGGTGAAATTTAAAAATTTTTACGAGCTAAAAATCAACGTTAGGTTCTGATGAATATATGTTCCAAGTTTCCTTGAGCTGCGTTCATTAGTTTGGGAGATATTACTTGATAATTGAATTTGTAGATTGGTCGTGCGACTGGCCACGAGTCCGACCGTAAATTCGCCCGAGACGTCCTAGGTTTCTACTTCTAGCGCTGAAACAGTTAAAACAGCCTAAAAACATTTTGGTTCACTAAATGGGGTTCAATTTGTGAAATACACATTTGTCAATAACATTTATCTATTAAAATTGCAGCGTACTAAATTTCAATAAAGAGACGTATGTTTTTATATGTGTCTGTGGGGGGCGCTAGAAGTTCACTAGGGAGCCAAAGGGGGCGCCAGCCTGAAAAAGTTTGGGAACCACTGATTTAGATGATTCACTGCCTTACTTCATGGCTTTACATTTTAATTTCTATTTATTACAATAATTGCTGTCAACTGTTGGTTTATTTATCCAAATGTAAAAATTTAATTAGGAAGACTACCTACCTATAAAAAATTAAATAAAAATAGGCTTCTGGTAATTTTCTGATTGATATTTTTATGAATGAATCTTTCAGGTAATAAGTAAGAGAAGTTATTTTTTATTTTTCATTAGGTAAATGTTATGAGGAATCTCATCATTGGCTGAAATGAATAAAGTGAATAGCATATCAGTCATCAGAATAACTATGGGGCTTTATACCTATGAATTGGGAGGGAGAAGATAACACTCTATATTAACTGTTAGAGCTGAAGGAAAAGGAAGGTTAGAGAGTAAGAGGCAATTCACGCCTAATTTAGGGAAAATCTACAGTGAAAAACTGCTTAATTAAGAAGAGAAGACATAGTGCTGGTGGGTATTGCACACCACTCATAAGATTGTTCTTAACTGATTTATTTATATGGATTTTGATGTTTTTATTCATCTATATTTTGAGATTTCGGCATAGGTGCTCCCAGAAAAAGAAATTGGTGTACTATAGTCACGCAGTTGCAATCACCCACCCTCATCCCCTGAATACTTGTGGGACAAACAGCTTAGTCGGATCAGACAAACTGAGTGCAGTTAATAAATGTATGATTGGCATGTGAGCAGCACAGCAAAGTATCATTGAATTGAAACAAACCTACCGACTTTCTAGCTTTTCAAATTATAATGGATCAAAACATGGAAGAGTCACATTGAGATTTCCTTAAACACTTTCTTTTTCTATCCATGTTTGACTCACAATTCTTTAAGTTTTAATTTTTAATATCCAATACCCATTGATAAGTGAGAATTTACCTAGATATTTATTAATATTTTTTACAGGTGTCATTGGAATCTGAAGAAGATTTTTGGTTCAACCACTGGCAAGGTCCTGACATCTGCCCTGAGCCCAGCAGCCAGGCCATCAGTGCCGTGCAACGCGCATCCTTCCGCTGCAACACCTGCAACAAGAAGGTGTGTTGCAATAGTGAAGTGTGTTGCAGGTGCTGCAATAGTGAAGTGTGTTGCAGGTGCTGCAACAGTGAAGTGTGTTGCAGGTGTTGCAATAGTGAAGTGTGTTGCAGGTGTTGCAATAGTGAAGTGTGCTGCAGGTGTTGCAATGGTGAAGTGTGCTGCAGGTGTTGCAATGGTGAAGTGTGCTGCAGGTGTTGCAACAATAGTGAAGTGTGTTGCAACAATAGTGAAGTGTGTTGCAGGTGTTGCAATAGTGAAGTGTGTTGCAGGTGCTGCAACAATAGTGAAACGTGTTGCTGGTGTTGCAATGGAGAAGTGTGTTACAAATGTGACCACAAAAATGGTTATGGTGTCCAATAACAATATGACCAAAAAATATAATCAGAATTGTCGAGCAAATATCATGTCAATGTTTTACATTTGCTAATTGTTATGTTGTGGTAAAGATATGGTTTACTTTCAAACTGCAGGAAGATGTCCAACTGACATGGGCTATACAAACTGTCATTTTTGTATAAAATCTTCTAGTGCTTTATCCAAAATTTTAATGTACTCAACAAAATAATCTCTGAACAGTTGCATATTGAATATTTGCTCAAATGTCATACTAAATATTTTCTCGTGACATTTGTAATTCTTTGTTAATATCATTTGTGGACTAATAGATTTTTCCTTGTCAGCAAAAAAATAATTGAGATTTGACCATAGCTGTAACAATCATGTACCTAGTAGTGTGTGATATATGTCATTGTCATAATTAGTGGTTAACACATCATTTTCATATTGTACCACTAGGTACTCGGCCTATAGCGACATTGCTATGTGCTGAATCTACTAGCTGACTTGTGTTAGCTTGCAGGTTATATAGGTAATAGAAAATTAGCTAGAATGTGTCAACAAATAAATTCGTTGATTGCTGCATAAGTAGGGAGGACTTCCATTTTGCCATGTTTTTTTCCCTTTTTACTAGTGAAAGTTTTAAGTTTTAGTTGTGATGACTGCCTGAATTTATGATCAGTAAGTAAAGTTTAATGTATATATATATATGCAGGTTGCATCTTCTGAGCCAGCGTCCTCGATGGCGCTGGAAGAGCCTGCCGAGTCGCCAGTTCTAGCTCATCTACCGTCCACACGACGACCGCGCCTCAAGATCAACTCTGCCAGCAGCAACATTAGTCCTCTTCGTGCTACACAACAGCCGCCCTTCATGTTGGGGTCAACACTAGAGTCTGATACTTCTTCAGACAACCATCAACTCTCTGGGTATTTGTGTGCTGTTTTCGTCTGGTTGTGTGCTTACTTGTATCTGGTGAATTAAGAAATTCAATGAAGCATCTGAATCAACTATTTTATTTATTGGTGAAACAGTTCAAATTTACTTTAAGTGGATCAGATGACAATTTTTATAGCTTGGTTAGATTGGCAGATATCAGACAAATGTTTATCTCAAATTGAATTTCCCTGGGGCTTCAAGTCCCATTATAATTGATCAAGTCTTAATATTTTTAAGAACCTATTAATAAGTGGTTAACACTTTGACTGCGACGTGCGCCATATATGGTATACGCATGCATGTCCAAAACTGCAACGTGCGCCATACGGTATATGGTACATTCATTAAAAAATGAAACTTTAAAAAAAAAAACATATATGACGTAAACCATGGTCATATCCTTATGTAAGCTTGATAGAGTATAGAGAAAAAGGATTATAAAAGCATATAATAATGTTATAAAATTTAATCAGAACAATATAAGTAGTACAAATCAAGCACAAGTTGTTCAGTGCGTATAAAAGATAAAAATGCAAGAACTGAAAGGCGTCCGGTATTCCAAGCTGAAAATGTATTGTTTGTTCAATAATGAACTATTATAGCAGAAACAATAAACACTGGGCATCTGAAAGTACTAAACTCGAGGTGAATGCCTCAATGAGAAGCAAGTTACGCTGAGAAATGGCTTTCCATCACAGGAATCACAAAAGGTAGTCACTCTTCTTGCTTTTTGTCTCGCTTCTGAACTGCCTTCATTGTTAGCGATAATTTCATAGCAGGACCTGCAGCGTTTTCTTGTTTTTAGTTTTGGTCCTTTAGCTTCAACTAATGTATGGCTGGAACGCAGGCCTGCAATATCAGAATGCTTTGGTCCTGGAAGCATTTCTTTATTCACTTTTCCTGTAACGAGTGACATACTAGACATTCTTTGAATTTGGTTACACCCATTGTCTTTTGTTGGCTGTAAAATTGATTAAACAGTGCCCATGCATTTACTACAGCAATTCCTGTTAACAACTCAATGGCCAATGTACGGTACCACTTCATGCTTCTTCTGAGTGCAGTATTGTAAGATGTCATCTGATCTGATTTATCAACCCCGCATTTAGCAGTATTGTAGTCCATAACACTTTGTGGTTTGAGTATCTCGGTACCATGCCGAGTATTTTTCCCTGAGGGTTGAAGATTGCCTGAATGTTCAGGCACGGTTGACAACATTAGCACGTTCCTTTTATCTTTCCAGTTGCAAACTTTAACTCCTTTGCTGTTCATCAAACCTGAAATTTCTCCTCTCTTCAGCTTTGCCTTCGTAACGCTGAGAGGCAATGCTTTTTGATTTTTCCACATAGTTTCACAGTAGTACGTTTTTTCCTGTAAGAGTTTTTCGGCCAAGGGAATGGACGAATAGAAGTTATCTGCATAAATAGTTAATCCCTGCAGAAGAAGGGGCCTTGAAAGCTGCAGGACAACAGACTCCGAATGCATAAATGTTGGTTCTTTGGCCATGTTGCCGCAATATATCTGAAAGTTCCAAGTGTATGAGCTGGGTGTGCAGAGCTTATATAGCTTTATTCCATATTTATGGGCTTTTCCAGGAATATATTGTCTAATGTTTACTCTCCCTCTGAAATGACAGACTCATCAATGACAACACTTGATCCTGGAGTGTAGACTGACTTGCAGCTCTGAGAAACACTGTCAATCAGTGGCTGGATTTTATGCAACCTGTTCTGTCGGTCAATCACTTCATTGTCATTAAAATGAAGCATATTCAGTAGCAACTGAAATCTGTCTCTAGACATGTGATTTCGAATGAAAGAATAATTGTATATCTCTTTTTTGGACCAGAAGTGCTCAATTTTTGGTGCTCGAACTAGACCCATGCACATAACAATCCCAAGAAACTTTCTAATTTCACTTGCATCTGTGGATCCATTTGGATAGCCTCGATTTCCTTGTCACAATCTTTGACTGAAGAATTTGAGTGGCGTACCTGTTTGTTTCATTCACAATAGCAGTAATAGTTTCATCGGTAACAAAGAGCGAATATAAATCCAATGGCAATACCGAATTATTCTCTCCGCTTGGCGTTGGCTTCTTCAAAAGCTGCTCCTTTCCTGTAAATGTGAAAGTTCGCTGTGATGCAACAATTGGAGTCCACGGACTGTCTGCATTTACTTCATAGTTATCCATTTCTGTTTCATAATCTTCAGCCTCACTTTCAACATCATCTGGCGAGTCGCTCTCAGAACTCGCTGAAGAATCTTCTTCCGAGGCATTTGGATTGATGTCGCTACTTGATGAACTGCAGTTAGAGCCAGAATTGTCCTCCTCTGGTCGATGGCGCTGAGTACCGTAAATTGATGGTGGATCCATGGGTCTGCATAAAAAATAAAATGATTAAAATGATGCCTAAAATATTGATATAAGCTTAGACTAGGTTGTTCCATACATCAAAACTTCTATAATGGATATTTTTCACCGCAGTCGGCTAAAAAACGTCGTGTACCTCAAATGGCGCACGATGCTCCATATGCATGAAAGTTCAATTACAGGCAACGTGAGCCACTATTGGTGCACGAACATCGTGACGCTATATGGCGCACGATGCCCCCAAAGATAGCAGTTAATATTACAAGCGACGTGTACCAAATGAGGCTCACTGTTTTTATGTCAGAATCTTGTAGAACTCACTTTTAGCAGAGCGGCGCACAACCTCCCACTTCGCTGTCATCTCTAGAACTGAAGTTATCCAGGTTTAAACATGTCGCACCACGAGCCAACAGGCTATTTTGCGAGTCGCAGTCAAAGTGTTGAGAAGCTAGAATCTCCTGTAAGAGTAGTGATTTATGCTAAGTTTCCTAGCTTACAGCAGTTGATGAATTGTTGTGTTTGTGTGCAGCCGATTGAGTAGCAGCGAAGAGCATCTGTCTGCAGTGGAGCGCGTACTGCAGCACGAGATGCGCACGGACAGCTCCCTCTTCCTGGCCGATGACGAGCCGGACTGGGGAGACCGCACGGACGGTGGCGGGACAGCGGCCTCAGTCGCCGTCACCCAAGGTGCGGTCTTGCCCGATGTCGGGTCTCCTTGGCGCAGTCGCTCCTGCCCATGCAGCCCCAAGACCGCCGCCCGCACCTTGCAAAAGCATCCAGAGTTGAAGGGCTCAAGCCAGCGTCAATCTGTGCACTATCACAGCAATAAATTCTCTCTGAGTGGTTCTCTACTGGCAATGCACAGGCAGGCATCCAGTTCCCTCAGAAGCAATGCTTCTAAGAACAGCTCATTACACAACAGCTTAGTGTTGCGCAAGCGACGCAGCTATTGCTCAATAGATGAGGAGGATGGCTCAAGTATTCTATCTGAGGAAGAAATGAGCGAAGAAGCTTCGAATCATGGAAACAATTTCAAGCAACCAATTCAAGTGAGTCATTCCCTGCCTGCACTGAAACTTTCCAGAATAGCCATGAGTCACCACAATGAAGAACCTGTGGCGGAAGAAGAAAGTCCATCCGTGCAGTGGCATCTGGAGCTTTCTGAGGGCCCTTCAGACGCAAATGCGCCTGATGAAGAGGTTTGCATTCCCTCCATCGACCATTTCTATCTGCCAGATCTTATCCCGAATGCTAGAGACTGCCGCAGCGTCATGCTCAATGAAACTCCTGAAAGGCTGTGTGCGACTCCAGTGGGCATGAGAGACGGCTTCATTAATTTGGGATTTGATGGGCAAAGTGAAAGTTCTGATGCACATGACGAAGTCCATCACTACAACGCGTTTCCTACTCCCAGCGACGACGGTCGCGATGAGGAAGGCAAAGTACCTTCACCTATTCATGGCATGTCGATAGGCTATCTAAAATCCCCTGACCAACATGCCCAAGGCTTTGATGTTTCTGTTTTGACGAGTTTCCAATCTACGTCTCCAGTAGATGATACCCCGTCCTCTAACGATATAAATACTCTGTCTTCTACTACACTTTCAAACGAGCTTTCTGATTCAAGATCTTCCTGTGGCTCTTCAATTATGATGCAGTCAAGCATTACTTCTGCCGCATCCACAGCACCCTGCTCGCCATCTGCCCTCCGCATCAGAGTCATGGATGGACCCACACTTTCTTCACTACAACAGCGCCCTTCCGCTGGTCTCCCACTGAACCTTGAGGGCCGCAGCGCTGCACAACTCAAGCCAAAGAAGACTTTGTTAGTTCAAGGCTCCAAGCTGGACACTTCAATTACTCAAAATGAAATCCTGCCTACCAATAACTCATTAGCCCTACAAAATGAAAGCCTGAAATCGAACTCTCTTATTGCCCCGCCTGATGTTTTCAAGATAAATAATTCAACTGGTGCCACAAATGAACTCACGAGAAACACTCTGAAGCGAGCTGACTCCACAGCTCATGCCGACTTGGAACAGCAACAGCAAATACAACAATTTCAGCAGCTGCTGATGGGGACGCAGAAGCAGCTCAGTGCTGCTGAATCCGGTAAGAAAGGCGCGTCTTGTAACACGTTCCCTCGCAGCGGCCAGTTCGTTCGTAAGGAAGGCTTTCAGCCGCCCCTTCCGCCCCCTCCACCCCAGGACATCGAGGAAGAAGTTGGCGCTAACCTTACAGAAGCCCGGGCGCTGGTCTATTGGTGGAAACAAGCGCAAGAGTTTGAAGCTGACAACGGAACAGACGGCGAATATTGCAGCCGGCGAGGCGAATGTGCTGCCAAGGTGCAATTGGATACATAATTTTTGGATACAGATAATATATTCAATTGCAATTGGATTCATTGGTGTATTCAACTAATATCTTTAACTTTTACTGAAAAGTTATTTATTGTTTATTGTGTTATATTCAACACTAGGAGCATCATACATTCTAGCAACTTTATCTCTTTTTATGCCTCGGTGTGGTGCTCATCATCAATTGCGAGTGAGACGCTTGTTAACTATTGATGTCATGAAGTAAATTAAGAGTATCAATCTCGTGCTATCACGTAATTTCTGCCTATGTTCTTACTTGTCCGACTGCCCGTGCTAATTACTTGCTAACCTGGGCAGCGACTGCCGCTCCTGATGTTCATACATGGAGTCGGGGGAAGCTCTGATGACTGGCACCACCAGCTGTGGTACTTCGTGTCAGCTGGCTACGAGGTGCGTGTCAGCTGGCTACGAGGTGCGTGTCAGCTGGCTACGAGGTGCGTGTCAGCTGGCTACGAGGTGCGTGTCAGCTGGCTACGTTAGTGTCAGGTGCCATTATGAATAAAAACACTATAATTTGCTACATTTCTATTAGAGAAGCATTCACTCGTCCTGCATCGCGAGATCGTGATAGTCAGCCGTCCGCATTCATACCGAATGCCGAATGCAAGCGTAACGCGTCTCCATAGGTGTTGCCACTCATAGAGCCCTCTTGCTGCCATAATCTTCGCTTTCCTCGGGAAAATGTTTCCTTAGGATTCGCACACTGCAGAGCTGGTAGTTGCGAGTCGCGGGTGTTCGTTTAAGTTATGTTATTTAAAGTTCCCTGCAGTCTCCTCCATCATCACTTCCACGCAGGCGGCCGACGTCCCATGTACTCGACTTATTGTTTGAGTGTCTTTGTTCACTTATCTCTTCTTGTTTTTTTTTTCGGCTTCTGCTCATTTTGGATTTTAGTTATTTTTTAGGAAAGCATTGATGATTGATAGCTTACTCATTGTGAGAAATTGTTGTTAAGGCGCTAGTAAACTGTAGACTCCATACTAATGACACTAAGGTGGTGATGTAGTTGTTAATGAGCAATTGGCTCCAGTTTTCCGACCGGTCTCACCTCTCCCTCCTCGCCTCTCCCACCTCACATATCCAGCTTCACCCATCCCATCTAACCTATCCCTTCTAACCCATCCCTTCTAGCCCATCCCTTCTAACCCATCCCTTCTAACCCATCCCTTCTAACCCATCCCTTCTAACCCATCCTTTTTAACCCATCCCTTTTATGAGGAGCATCTGCCCCAAAATCGAAAAATTTGACTTTTCTGGTTTTTATACTCATCTTAAAACTTACATTCTGACGCATCTAACGGTGCCAAAACCATCTCTGTATGTTGATTTATGCGTTCACGACAGATCGCGAATGGGTTAGGGGTGGCGGAGTTCTTTCACATTTAAGATAGGCGAAAATTCGCTGCCGAGCATAAAGAGACGGTCTGAAGACGCTGCTCTCTAGTTATCCGGCTGCTGTCGTGCGGGATGGTGTTCATGCAGTCGTTCACACCATCCTTGACTGAATTTAAGCTCCAGTAACGTCTAGTCTTGCATTCTTGCCACCTTGAATGCCTATTTTGAGGCGCTCGGGACTTTGTCGCGCTCTACTGAACATTCATACTTATTGTCACTGAAAATCTATCTCCTCCTAGAGTTTTTAAGCTATAGCAATCAGAGATATACCGTTCGATTCGCAAATAAAAGATCTACAAATGATGCAGACGTTTTTTTCAAATTTCGTTATAGTTTGGATTTTATTCTGCAAAAGGGATTATGGGATTAACTGAGCTGACTCCACAGCTCATGCCGACTTGGATTGAATTAACATTTTACCACCGGTGGCGGTGGTAAAATGGAAAAATTTCCGAAAAATTCATGAAAAATGCTCCCACACCCACAAAAATGAGAATTTCAAAATACCGTCTGCATCAGTTTTAGATATGGTCTTTACGCATCGACTGATATGTGTCGATGTTGTAGCTTGAAACCTAGGAGGAGATAGATTTCTACAGTACCCCCCTTTGTGTCCGTTTTCTAAGAATTTCACGTTTCCTTTCATTTTTTTGAAAAGTTCACACGAACAAAAAAGTCTTGAAATTCCGTTTTACATTCGTGCTTTACATACGTGAGATAAAATTTGGGGCAGACGCTCCCCTTAACCCATCCCTTCGTCCAGTCCCACCTACCCGGCCTCAATTATCCCGAGTCACCTACCCAGCCTCTCCCATCCCTCCTAACTCATCCCGCCTCCCTTAGCCTCACCCGCCCCATATGGCAGGCGGCAGCAGAGCTGTCACTAAAGTTGTCTCTGGATTGCAGGTGGTTGCCCCCGACCTGTTAGGACACGGCCTGAGCTCTGCTCCCGACAGCGCTGCCTGCTACCGCTTCCCGCGCCTCCTCGAGCAGCTCAGACTCCTCTACGACCTCTTCGTACCTAAGGGCCGCAAGTGTGTCCTTGTGGGACATGGATACGGGTACGTATCCGAGCCAAGCTGCGTGCTCTGAAATATACCTGCTAACTGGTTCCGTGGTGCTTTAATCGTAGCTTGTTTCTGGCTCTCCTTTCTGACGGATCTTCTGATGCGTGTTTGTGCTCGTCAGAAGTTCTATGGGATTTCGCGTTCCTAGGGGCACTGTTCCTGAGCGCCCCACAACTATCGCGGTGTCTGACTGCATGTCTCAGTTGTGGGGTTAAGTTATTATGTAGGCAGGGTTCCTTACATTAAGTTATTATGTAGGTATCTTGTTCGAGTGTCTTCGTTTCTGTTGCTTTTCACCTGTCCCTCCTCGTCACTTCGTCTCTTTGAGATGCTAACGCTGCTTCCTTCGAGCCAGCTTCAGCGGGCTGGAAAATTGAGACCTTCCACCCCTTGTGGGTGATGAATGATTTGAGAAGTTTTCAATAATTGAGACATTCAGCCTTGCTGGCAATGTTAATTTTTGACCTTCGGCGCGAAATGGCTTGATACCTGAAGCGCTATCAAACTCTCCTACTACTACAGCTTGTGTCTGATCAGCTGCTGGTAACCTTACGCAAGGATCATGAATTTATTCTCTCTGGACACGATGTGCCGGGCACTTTAATTTATCTTGATATTCGAAAATAAGCTATTGTTTTATTTTGTACTGACTTCTTTGCTTCTGCTTTCATTAGAGTTACGGATTTTAGTTTCATATTATTTTAACTTCGGATAAATTGTATTCTTATATTTGATATATTACTTTTTGACTGGTGCTATATTTCTCGTAAGATGTGCACTGGCTGCTGCGCTGTTGCGCTACCGCCCCTCCAGCGCCCCCCTGCTGGTCCTTGCCTCCTGTGGGGGACCGGCGCCCCTCATGCCCCCGCCTCCTGCCGTCTCCAGTGAGTCTTACATTTTTTTTTCCTCAAATAGTCAACGACTGTTTTACTATACAAATTATCAACGAATTTTTTGTCTTATGTTGTCAAGCGTGGCAGCATTTCCTGCAGGGATAATAAGCTTGTTATTAAAAGGTATAAAATAAATCTTTCATTATTCATTGGTGAACTCGAGTTCTATACAAGACGTTTCATTGCTAAATTTGATGGAAAACAATGACTCTCTCGTTTGTTATGTCATTGATTTCCCTCTGTTAAGAACTTGTACGATCGATTGCCAGTCTGACACAAATATTGTTCAAAATTCCAGACAAGTGCAACGATTTGCTGGAGTTCTTTTTTTCGGTCTATCTGATCTTACCCAAATATCAGAGAACACGATAATTTAAACGTTTCATTAATTTAAACGTTTTTATTGTTCTTAAGTCGAGGACAGATCTCAGTTACCTGTTAGTTAAGACTTGCGTTAAAGCATTAGCGAACACGTTCCCGCTAGCAAATATTTCCCGGTTTGTTTAAAATTCGATGCAAATCATTGAAATAATTCCTGCAAATTTGGAAGACTATTTGTTAATTTGATCTAATTTAGTAGCTAATGATACATAAAATGTTCGTGGCTTACTTGCATCTCGAGCTGCTAGTGTTATTAAATAATGTTCTAACAATGCGGTTGTTTAGTTCCTTGCCTATAAAGATACCTATTGACAACTTATTTCTCACTTGCAGCGGTCGTTTGGTAACGGGTGAGCAAAGACTTCTTCAGGCACGTGCATGCTTTTGTTGCTGGCATGTTCATGTCTGTGTTGGTTTTTATGTCGTGTCTGATGATGATTACATTTTTCCTCGTAAGGCCTGCCGATTAGGCTTCAAACTCATATTATTTAAAAATCCGGGATGTTTTGTTCACCTGTAACGATTATTTGTAGCAGTTCTGAATTTTTAGTTATGATTAATTTATTTTAAAGTGCGTTTTGTGTTTGAAAGTTTTGTAGTGACCGCTGGTCGCTGAGAGCTGCTCATTCATTAATCGCTTACGGCCCTTCCTTGCGTACGGTCACAGCAGTTCTATTGTATACGTGCGAGAGACACTGTCGCGGCTGCTTGTATAATTTAAAATAAATTTCTTTCGAAAACCAGTTCAAGGCGGTATGTATATACAACATATATGCGCATTTGAATTTTCAGTTGGGCAGTGCTTGAATTGTTACATGAAGCCTGTAGCTGGTTTTGATCCATGAAAGCAATTTCCGTGTTTTGCTGTACATTTTAGATTATCATAGCTTTGTAATTCATTCAAGACTTCACTGCAGCAAAGAAATAATATTCCAATAACCTGATTTTGTAAAATTATTGTTAGTTTCATTCCTGATCCCAAACTCTTCACTACTCGACCCCGAGCCCAGTGCTATCGAGTTGCCGATTTGTATTACTTACTAATTGATGCCAAGTACCTGTTAACGTTCTATTTATCTGGAATTGAACCGCCTTTTCCGTTTGATGTTTATAGTGAATAAAACTAGTATCTCTCGTTTCACGGTTTCTTGTCAGTACTTTTACTTGCTCACTTGGACAACGATGTACTTACGCATTAGGAACAATATTGTCATTGGATTCGATCACCTGCCTCAACTGGACTAAGCCCCGGGACCTGCAGCCGCCTGTGTCTGGATTTAGTTTAATATTTGCATCATCTTCGATAAAAAATAGACTACAATTTCTTGAAGCACGTGGAAACTTTCTTTATTAATTACTGTTACTTGACGTGTGGCCTCAGGACCGGCGTCAGGACGCCTGTTCTGCACACGATGGTCACAAGAGACCCTGCCTCGCACCACAGCTGCAGATAGTCTAGATCAGTGGTTCCCAAAGTGGGCGATATCGCCCCCTAGGGGCGATGGAAAGATTTTGGGGGGCGGTAGTCCAAAGTCGAAGTCAGAAGTTCGAACGTTTGTTTGACGATTTGTACACAACACGTGCAGCACATGACTCCCAGCGATGGTTTTTTAACCCAGATCTGTTTTTAGCGCATTTACTCATTTATGGAAAAAATGCACTATTGTGCTCGCCATGTCCAGTGAAAAATTTTTGAATTTTGCCTTCAATTGTTTTTGCCATACTTATATGGCAATACGGGCCGAATGCACAGTGATCAAGGAATTTCTTCAAAATTACTGAACAGATTCGAACGAAATTTTGAATTTACAGTCTTAACTACCGAAAGGTGATGTTTAGCTCGTGAAAATTTTTTCGATTGTGCCTTCGTTCACGAGTTTCATTCGTGATTTAAACAGCAATACGTGCTTAAATTCGCAGTAATCAAGAAATTTATTGCAAACTATATACTGAACAGATTTCTTGCAAACTACTGAACAGTTTGCCTTCGTTTGTGAGTTATACGGCTATACGTAAACGGCTCTTTGTTAAACCAGCCGTTAGAAAAGCCGATCGTTTCTCCTATATCTGTATAACTTGCGAACGAAAGCGAATAAGGAAGTGTGAAATCAAGAATGACGGTAAAATGAAAAAAATCTCGCAAACGACGGTAAAATAAAATTTTTTTCATCTAAAAACACATTTGGTAGTTAGGAATGTATATTCAGAATTTCGTTCAAATCTGTTCGGTAGTTTGGAAGAAATTCTTTGATCACTGCGAATTTCGGCCTGTATCGCAATATAACTCACGAATGAAGGTGATATTTAAAAAATTTTCGCAAGCTAAACGTCACCGTTAAGTTCTAATGAATACATGTTCCGGAGTTTTATTGAACTCGTTCATTAGTTTGGGAGATATTCCTTGATAACTGAATTTGGAGATTGGTCGTGAGACCGGCCACGAGTCCGGCCGTAAATTTGCCCGAGACGTCCTAGGTTTCTAGTGCTGAAACCCTTAAAACAGCTGAAAAACACATTGTTTCACTAAAAGGGATCCTATTTGTGAAATACACATTTGTGTTTAACCTTTATCTTTTAAAATTGCAGCGAACTAAATGTTATAGTAAGAGGCGCATGATTTTATATGTATATGTGTCTGTGGGGGGCACTAGAAATTCACTAGGGAGCCAAAGGGGGCGCTAGCCTGAAAAAGTTTGGGAACCACTGGTCTAGATGTTATGATATTGTTTGTATTCTGCTGGAGCTGAACATTCCAGTCAAAATATGTGTGGGGATTCGCTCAGCAGTGTGTGTGTGTGTGTTTGTTTGTTTGTGTTGTGTGCCTATACTGCATTGCTCATCTTCAGTAGTTGCTGAATCATGTGAACCCATGTAACTTGTTATTTTTTGTCATCGCTAGTACAAATTATTGAGCATCATGATTATATTTTCTGTGTCTGTGGATTGTCCGTAATGTACCTACCTACGTCTATGATAAATATCCTTTGTTGCACTAGAAAGAAGCTTATTGCACTTTATCGGATATTAATCGCTTTTCATTGATTTATGCCCTGGCCTTCAGTTACTGAACTATTTTAAATTGTAGCATATATTCTTAATGAAATTGTCATTTTTATACCTGCATGTTATTATACTGTCTAGTTTAACGCTTGCCAGTTCGTCCCAGTCAAAAACCCAAGTATTGCAACATCTACGTTGTAAGGTTGTACACGGTGTAATGTCTGATAATTATGATGTGTAGCTTGATTCGTGATGTACACCTGCAGAGAGCACAGAAGATGCATTGTACTCGCCCTACTTTAATTTGTCCGGGCGCTCGTGGTGCCGCGACGTCTTATCTGAGGAACTCAACCAGTGCTGCGAGGGACTGGCCATGCTGCAGGACGGCGGCCTGTCCGCCTGCTGGCCTGCGTGCAGACTCGTCCTGTCTACAGCCTGCTGGCTCGCTTGCTGTGTGCCTTGTCTCTGTGCCAAGTGAGTCAACTTTGCCTCTTATTCTGCATTACAAAAGTTCTTTAGAGTCTTTGCTTCTATCTCATTGACGAGAATGCCTTCAATAAGTTGCTTTCTATATATTCTATTCCTTTTTCTGTTTACAATTTAGCTGTGTAAACGTAGGCTAATTGTCTTACTGGCCGCCGGAGCTCTGCTGTAATCTTTTACTTTTGTTTAAAACTTTGCTAAATTATCCCTGTCTTGTGACAGACATTTAACAGATCACTTCAGTGCTGCCTTAAGCCTTATTAATCCAACTGCATTATGGACACTTTTTCCATAAGACGGCTCTAAGACTGTGACTGTGTTCATAGGACTTCAAGAAAACTTTTTATCTGCCTTTTTTGCTACAAGGATTTTCATGTGGCTTCCTCTGACATCCTTCTGCTTCTCGACTCTTCACTGAGGCATTTTGATCTCATTGCTCTTTTGCAGCCTTTCCGCACCTGGCAGTTCTTTGTTGCAGCCTTTCCCATCTGCTCCGTTGCACCTTTTTGTCTGGTGTAGCCAGTGCTCTGCTACAGCTTTTCTCATCTGCTCTGTTGGAGCCTTTTCGCGTACTGCTTTAATGAACCGTTATCAATATAGAGCTTCACTACGGTTGTCAGGCCGCTTCAATATGAAGCCCCTAGCAGTCTCGTGTTATCCCTGGTTGTGAATCCCTCGTTGTGTGGCGCAGGAGTGAGACGAGCCACCAGGGTCGTGGCAAGCAGTTGAGCGACGGTGCGCTGCGTCACGCTGGGGCCACGGCCACGCCTGCGTACGTGGTGCGCCATATGGTGCAGGGGCAGCGCTGGCTCGAGGGAGATGTCACCTTCCACAGGCGCATCACGGCACCCGTGCTACTGCTGCACGGTCTCAGGGACACCACCGTGCCACTCCTGCACATGTGCGAGATGGAGAAGGTGAGGCTCATGGGACAGGTGGCGGAGATGCGTCATGGGTCTTCTTGTTCTCTCCACATGGAAGAGTTTTGTCCTTTTGTGGTCCTAATGTTAACATAGTGTGTTCTTGTGTCAAGATGGCAATATAAATTCTTCTAGTAAATTGAAATATGGGGCATGTTATTGTGTGACTTATGATTAAGGCGTTCAAGACCACATGAGACTTGGGGAAAATGACTCACTATTAGCGGTAGTCCAAGATTGAGAAATTAAAAAAAATTAACTTACCCAGAGTTTAGTCAGAGATAACCCCCAAAAAACTAATTTTTTTTTAAAGTCTGAAAACGATGTTCATAAAATGCGACTGTAACTGATTTTGTACTGCGTGTGCAGACGATCCCTCGTGCGTTCCTGGAGGTGCTTGGTTCGTGCGGCCACGACCTCATGACGGACGCGCCTGACGCCGTCAACAGCGCCCTGCACCGCTTCCTGCTGCGCTGGCGTCGCCTCGCATCGTGATCCGTTTCGTCGCCAACTAACATGACGAAGACAGACCTCCAGAACCTCGGTTGTTGATGAGCGTCGACCGAATAAGATGTTCATAGAGAACTATTTGGCTTTCCAGAGATTATCAGGGTTATAATGAAATAGCGTTGAAAATCTGATGTGTTTACAGTGATATTTTTCGACAGATTAATCAATTTATAATCATGCGTAAGAAGGCTACAGTTCCGAAGAGGTAATTTAATGGCATACGTAAGGATTTCCTTTTACCCCGGACATTTTTAGCGACGCCACTTGTCAATGCCATTATTTGGCATCCCCTATAATTTCTACTTTTCCGCTTGTACTTCTTTCTTGAAAGCCCTCTTATCTTCTAGTTCTGATAAAATGCGTCTCTATGATTCTCACTTATTTACTACAACATTCCGTCCATAGTTTTAAGTTTTGTTGTTAGTATATTTATTTTGAGCCGTTGGAGGAGGGGGCATCTATAGGAAATTAAAATTTCCTCCTTTCTTGACTCTGTTCGCCAGATATCTTCTTGCCAAATTCTTGCCCATCACTCATCCTCGTATATGCGATAGCTATGTTCATACGGCACTGAATTATATTAAATTCACGTGCAGCAATATTTGTGCATACGAATCTTTCGTCTTCCTGTTTCTTGTTACGCCAAATTTCAGTAATTATTATCACATAGTTATTATTATTATTACAATGCGTAGTTATTATTCATTGATTATAAATCATTAGTTTTAACCAATTCGCCGAAAGTGAATACGCCGTTCTTATTTATGATGGTTTTCTGAACTTGATGATTAATGGTATTGATTGGTATTGGTCTGTCTTTAAGGAACTAAGTTCAGCTCTCAGTGTTTACCGCCTCACGACTTCGTCTCATTATTTTATTTTCACATTCTCATGGCACATGCTTGCCTGTCTCCAAGCCTAATCTTTAATTTAACCTTATAAATTTCCTATCTTTTCTACTTACTTCTGGTGGAATGGCCAGCCTTGACTACCGTTGCAAGCTACTAAGGTTTTTTGGCCAATAATTTATACATATAGCGCGGTAATTTTACGCAGCGTTTCTAAAGAGTTACGTATTACGAATAAATTCTTTGTCAACTTTCTACTTGAACGAAAAAATTATATGCCGGCAGAGCCGGCGCGTTACTTGGCATAGCCACTTCCGTACGTCTAAAGTATTCCCGTACTTTTAATTTTTAAATAATGTATACATTTAGTCTGGCCGTAGCTCAAATTTGAATGTTGTTCTACTCTCCCATTAAATACGATGTAGACGATCATGTGTTGTGGTTTTCGAAACGCGTATTGCGGAGCGTTCCGTTCCTCATACACGCCGTGCTGGCAATGCGGGAGATCAGGTTTTAATGTTAAGTTCATTGTTAACTAGTGATAATTGTTTCTTTTGTTGAGGGTTGTAAGTATTTTCATATAAACTGGCTCGTTCTAGCAGTAAATTGATGCACGAGGATGCTAACGTTAACTCTATGTGTTGGTGTTTTGAATTCTACTGAAAATGGTTTCATCGGAAGTTCTCTGAATAATTAGCAACTTGGAGGTCATGAAAATATCAATAAGTTGGAAACACAATCTCTTTCTTACAGTTCATCGATTTCATATAATATGCTATGGTTCCTATTTTGCCACCTTCAAAACGTAGAATGCAAATGGGAATTGTGTTTGGTTGCAAATTTGTGGCTGGTGGTAGTGCTACCTCCACTTGTTCAGGCAGTCTGATCTCCAGGCTATATAAAAAGCAAGTCACACACTCCCTTGTATTACCAGGCTGGGATGGAGAAATTTGCAGTTCCCTCCTTTAGGTTAAACTCGAGTTCGGCGCGCGTCGCTTGCTTAAATTGCCTATTTTTTGCGTATTTCTCCATAGATTTGCATTCCACTGGACTTCACATTTTGATTGAGGTTTCCACATGAGAGGTAAAGGTTTTATTGTTGAAAGAGCATAGTAAAAAAAAAATCCAAATTAAATTTGGTTCCACTATTTTGATTTCTACAGTTATCAAGTGAAACATGAATGCCGTACTGAATATTTTTGCACTGAATATTGGGAAATGTAGATTCTCTTTCCTCCTAGCTCTATTTAATTATACCCATGCCATTTTTTTATTTCATAAATCAACTTCGAATTGAGCTCATCAAGCTAGCTTTTCAATTATCTGGCAATACATTTTATTTATTTGGTTATTGGAGAGACTTATTACAGAGAGAGCTGAACTCAATTGGACTCGCTCATTTAACCACTCGGGTAGTGATTAGAAATGGAGAATATATTTTCAATATTTTATTTAAATATATTCTCCATTTCAAATCATTCTATAGAATAGAATATTTTCAATATTTATATCATAGTATATGTTTCTCAATTCGAAATAAACATTGAGAGTATAATATCTTTAATATTATATTCTCAATATTTTTTCGAATTGAGCTCATCAATCTGGCTCCTTATATATATGACAATACATTTAAAATTATTGGGCTATCGAAGATACTTATTACAGAGAGCTGAACTCAATTTGCCTCGCTCATTTAACCTCGTGGCAGTAATTAGAAGTAGAGACGACATTCTCCGATTGTCTTCTCGTTTTGCTCATTAATCGCTTGACGAAAACATTGTTGGATGGCATTACTGCCAATACATGGCATAGCATCGTGTGTAATTACTTGCAGACAATTTATTAAGTTGCAGATCACATTATGCATCTCTGACTTCACTCTAACGCGGCTAGAATAATTAACTTATATTGATCAAGGACTTCTCTTAATTGTAACCGAGAGTAAGAATTTCTCTACTCTTAGATATATTGCATAACTTGTATTTCGAGGTTCCCTAGCGGTTTTTACTAGAAATAACGGTAATTACAATGAATTCGTTGTCAACCAATTCGTTTCGAATGCAAATTAGTGAAGCGAGAGCCAATTTCCCGTAAACGCAATGTAGAGAGCGATGTATACGACACTTGCGGCTGAGTGGACAAAAAATGTATATTATTGAAATCAAATAAATTGAGTAAGTCATCGCAAAGCTCGCTTTGGATGGCAGCGAAACCGTAATGATAAAATTTGTGCTTATAAAGCAAAAAATCCAGAGTACACTAGCAAATTCAGATTTCGAGTTAACACAAAACTTTCCCGAGGGATTTTCGGACGTCATTTACAAGTTGTCCTTCTATTTCTTAGCAGGTTTAGAAGCGAATTTTTTCCTCATCATCCATCGCCACCTAACTTTGATTTCTACTGCAAGTTGATGCGAGCAATCATGTTACAGCGTGCGTCTTACATTTTTGGAAATTGCCACTTCTATCTACTTAGAAATGGTAAAGAAAGTTTGACAAAGCCGATTGAGTGGTTACACATCAACCACGTCTTCTGAATCTTCATCTTCTGACGATGTGGAGGAGCTATGGCAAGCCTTTCGTAAACTGTAGTTTCTGCTATCTTTTCTGCCACTTTGAGGACTTCTGTCGTGTGCTCTTCTGTCCTTCCGCTTCTTGGTTACTTTGATTGGCGATTGTGCTGGTGGCTGCAGTTGGTAATAATGATCATCGTCGCTTCGTTCTGAAGAAACTTCCGATTCTCGTACATTGGACAAAACGGTTCTATTCCCCATAAAGGCGAAGGCCTTGTTCTCTTGATCCGTTTGCTCTTCGTGATAGTAATTCATAAGGAGAGTTTCATCGTGCTTCGGTAGGTCATTTTTAAAACCATTTTGAGACTCAGTTTCTTCGTGGTATCCATTCGTCAAAGATCGCTCCGAATTTCTAACTCTGCGTTCTTCTTGTCGCCCGTCGGCTGTGTAATTCTTCAAGGAATACTTCTCACCATGGTCGGAGCTTGTGCGAGACTGGCGACGGCTATTCTCGTTGCCAGAACTGAATGTCGTGTCCACTGTAGCCTTGGATATAGTCGACTCACCACGCTTGTGTTTTGTCTTGCGGTTGCCGCTGCTGGAGCTGTTGGTCCTCGAACTGCTGGTACTCCGGGTGTATCCTCCAGACGACGTGCCCGAAACGATTGTGTGACCTGATAACCGAGCATTCAAGTTTCTCCACACCACCTTCTTGCAGTCGAAAGCCAAGAAAATGAAAACGCCTTGTAGGGAAGTTATGATGTTGAAAAGATAATCGAAAACAACTGAGAAACTGACGAGCGTTGCAAATATCCATGGGACACCCATTAGAACCGCTAAACTGGCATACAATTTTAATTTTTTAATGTTCTCTTCTTGGTCGCCAACGGTTTTCTTCATCTTCCCGGTGATCAAGTGATAAATTTTACGGCTTTCTTTCTCATCAGTTTCTAGAGTTTTTTCAGGTTTATACTTGCCTCTTTTTGAAGAAACTGCTGCCATTTTCCCCATCTTTTTTTGTTTTCGAATTTTACTTGCAGACATAATGAGCATGACTACGTTTAGGAAAAATATAATTTCGACAGGAACAACAAAGAATAACAGAAGCCCTCCTAAGGTTCCGAACCAAAACCCGTAAGCAGCAAAGGCTGGGGCAACTATTGAGTCTTCGGCTGCCATGTCCACGGTGATGGCACATAAGAGCATTACGGCCGGTAGACCCCATGCGTATAAACTATACCTCGTAAAGCTTCTCAATTCGTGGCTCCGCAGTCCTCGTGTATGGAAAGTTTTACAAATGTCGAAGCTTATTACATTCATCCAAAAGAAGGCTGCCATAAAGAAGTAGTAGACAACCGCACTCAGGGTGTAACACCCTCCAACCGTGCGGCACAAGTTTGCTCCGAATACAAAAAACGTTTCTGCAAAAAACAGCGCGCATGACATCGAGAATAAATTTAAGCTATGAAGTTTGCGATTTTGGAAAAGAATGAGGAAAATAAGCATGTGTAGTAATAAACACACTATAGATATGGACATGAAAACCGTGAAGACTATTGACTCAGCGGACGCATCAGCGTTCACTTGTTCAATAACAGTTTCGTTCAACCAGCTGTCAACGTCGGTGCCGTTCTCGAGAATATTTTCTGGATTCTCGATCAAATCGCATTCCCCGAATACAGGATCTTTGACGTAGTTTGATTCGCAGTTCTGATCAAAGTCGAAAAGGTCTGAGATCGTCCATAAGTCGTTTCGTGCCACTGCACTTCCTGAAGAAATGTCGAACGGCTGGAGGCAAATGATGTTACCCAATTGTACTCCATTACACAATGCACAATGATTATTTTTGTAGACGTTTGCTTCTTTGTCCTGTAGAAAGTAGTTATCGCCTTCTAGGCATCGCTGCTCTATGATGTCGTGGTACATTCCTCCAGCACCTGGTGTACAGGAACTAATTACCTTATCTTCACACACGTGGACGACATCGATAGGAAACTCGATAAGTAAGAAACATGTGACTCTGTCGTAGTCTATACAATGAACGTCCTTGGAACGAGGGGCGGACCAGGTCAGATTCCCTGCCTGATATTGCATGTTCATGACAACATCCATAGAATCGACCTCGCAGTCGCACGACAGGCTGTAGCTGTACCCGTCGAAGTAGTACTCCCTGTTGCAGGTGCCGCAGAAAATGTTCTGGTAAATTATACCAGAATTTGAAGACACTACGGGCACGTCCATCAGGTACGTATAATTGAATGATCCTTTGGTAGTGTCTTTGCGGCACTTGTCGTCGAGCAGCGAGTTGGTTCCCTTGGGGCACCAGTCCACCATGAAGACTTTCTGAAGAAACATAGAAGTGATAGCATGATACCAAAATAGTCGAAACAAATATTGATTTAAGCACAGGAAATCATGACACCAGCTGAAATACCAGGGCCTCAAGAATATTCTATTAATTAAGTAGATGTAGGTTGTAAAAATATACTTGGGCGCTCGTGACTTGAGAAATCGGTTCCTGTCTCAATTGTTATACTGAGAAACTCTTAATCTTGTTTCCAAGTTCAAATTAAATACACAAAATTAGCGGCTAAATCTGACCTCATGTCTCCAATAAGGCAATGACCAGATATAAAGATTTACTATCTGCAATATATTAATCATAATTTGCCCGTACTAAAGAGGAAGGAAGTAGGGCTGGTGGCTGGAGCGGTAGGCAGGCAAAGGGCGCCTCTGGAGCGTCCCTGAGGAGCCTGTTCTCGAGTGCAGAGAAGTTGTGTTCGGGAGCGTCAGGGCAGCAGTCGCCGTACAGGTGACACTCGTGGTCGCAGCGGCACGGCTCGCGGCTATCCATTGAATAATAATAGTATTAGGAAAGTATTCTAAAAAACATGATTTTTCAGTATGAAAAACTTGTTCTGTTTAATTCGAGTATACAAGTGATCTGTAGCCTATTCAAGAGATAATGCACGCATAGCCGAACAACTTAAAGAACGAATTGACTCGATTCTTTCGTAAGAAGCAAAATTAATATAGGTTCATCCTATTATGGTATTTATTTTGTAACTGGAACTAAATTATTTATGAAACAAAGAATAGCACACAGATGAAACTTGAGAAACACTGAGAGAAAAAATACAGTTATACCATCATTGTACTAGAGTAGACGTATGCTCACGGTACGTATGAAGAGTCTCCTCCTCCATAGGCCTTTGGTCGGTCCGAGCATCTCGGGGAGAAGGAGCAGTCACTGTACACAGAGGGCTCCCCACATCCCGGCCTAGTTCCTGCCGTAAGAAATGCGAGAGCAGAATTATCGTGCAGTGACCGTGGCTGTCAATGCTCAATATACATGCGACTCTCAATGCTATGTGACATGCTCAATATACATTATGGGTCGTAGGAAGCAAGGGTGAGGTGTCAAGGTGATCATGAGTGTTCACAAAAACGTGCAAATGGAGTATTCGATGATCATCAAGTGAACTATGGTGTTATAAAAAAACTAACCAGGAGTTTTGGATGGTCATTAAATGTGCGATAGTAATAACAAGACGTGTTAACGACGTTCTATTCATGATAAGTTGAATGCGTGGCCCGTTTCAAATCACGACAAATTATGCACAAAAAAATTCAATTATTTCGATTATTCCGCTTCAACATTTAGAGTATGAACTGTTCAAACGTGAACACCATAAATAATCCGAAATTACTTCACCACGCTAAGTTAGGTATAGTTACAGTTTAGTGTAAATTCTATAATATTTCCGGCTCTCTAACAAAGAAATGTTTACTAAGTTTAGATATTTTATCTCCACAGCCCATAGGTACCATATTATTTCATTCTCTGCGTTCAAAATTCAAGACAAAATGCGACGCTTGCTGACGTGACCTCATGAAGCTGACGTGATAGTTGTGTGATTGGTTCGTTTGAGTGTATTCAAGTCACATTTAGGGACTGGTTCTCAACTCGGGAGTTTCTAAACTATATGTAAGCAAGAAGTAGTAATATAATATTAATATGTGAGAAAATATGACTCAATATTTGACTTTCAAAAAACGTCGAGATAAAGCTATGCAGAGGCATGCCTTACGACAATAGTAGTGCGGTAGTGCCTCCCAACTCACAACCTGGGCAATTATCAGCAGGACAGCAGCTACACTTAGCCTCAACGCCAGTTTTGGATAGACTGTTCGTAAAGATAGTCAGTTCTACAGGAGACAAGTCATAACATAACATAGTGATCTCGGCGCTGCAGTGTAGGCCTGATGTGGCCTGTCGCCGATTCTTTTCCTTTTCATGCCTTGTTCACAGAAGATCTAAAATCGTGTCATTTGACCGGATATTTTCACGACTGACAAAAGTTTTAAATAGCTACTCGACTTCCACCGGGTTCGATATGGTGCTAGGCATTTCAAATCTGAACATATATTTTTCCATAGCTTTATCTAGTCTGTTCTTGAAAGCGTTCATACTCGGAGCGTCAACGATGTCATCGGGAAGGCTGTTCCACATGTCGGTGATTCGAAGCGAGAAGAAATTTTGTCGCGTGCAGAAGTGCAGCGCTGTTTTTTTAGTCATGAACATTAAAAAATTTGTGAGAGACCAATATTGGACTTCTTTCAGCGTCAATACTCTTACACTATTTGATCGTATCGCCACCAACGAATTTACTTTTCAGATATCGACGAAAAAAAAATCTAGCGGCTGCTCAAGTAATTTTGGAATGAAACCAGTAAATTATTGTTCATTCATAAAATTTATCAAATTAGAATGACGGATTTGTTTTGCACGACACGCGTGCTTCTCAAGAAGTTATGCATTTCTATACATCATAAATATAATTCAACCAATCTAATTAAATTCAAGTCAGATTTGGTGTAAGAATATCGAAATGACTTATATTTAGAACATTTTTCGTACGAACATGCAAAATCCTCGGCAAGCTTTTTCCAGGCCAGTGTGCGGCAGTTATAGAAAGAATTGAATAAAAAGTTATGCCGTATAGATAGTAATACTCCATATCAAACTAATTACTTCATAGAAAGTTGCATGGTTTGAAGTCATCAGAGGCTTACAGGCGACATTCATCTCCTCTGATAAGAGTTTCAATTCTTGTAAAAGGAGCCACGCTTTCTCGTAAGCTGGCGTGCTGACAATTCTCTACCCGATGTCAGGAACGTTCAAAGTTTGCTTATTAGAACGTTTTCACGTACGGAAATGGTGCTTAGTTTTCAGCGAGTCCTTGATACAGAGAAATGCGAATTTGCCGCTTCATTTTTAGTGACATTGTACTAACGTTTCAATAGCTGAATGAAATTTTCGTCAATGTTGACAATTATCAAATCGACAACATCCATGAAAATAACCAACAACCTACCAAATTCCTATATAAATGACATAACAAACTAGCCTTCAATGGGTTAAATAAAAATACGAAATAACTAAAATAATCCATCGCAGAGGGCATTAATAAGGAATGTGGTCCGCGCATGAAAGAATATGAAAGAAAGGCGCGGGCCTGTTCAACCGGTAGGCTGTCTACATTCTGTTATATACACGTATCTCTTCCAGGGAAATTGTCAACATACCTCTAACATTCATTTCATTGTCTCACTATTTTTATTGAGGTTCCATAAAGAAGAGGTGTCATTAATGGATGACAAATGAATACGAATTATGACAAAACTCATTTAATAAACGAGGCATTTTTTCATGATCGTTGGACGTGTTATAAGGAGTAGCGGCATGGCTATTAGCTACATGCAGCAGAATTGAATATTCATCAACAGGTGTGGACTCCATGTGGACGGAATGTTGTTCTCCGTGGGAACGGAATGTCAAGTCGGCAACCGCGCTTCTCACTTAGAAGTTAGAATACCAACATGGGGCACAATCCCGCATCCTTACCAAAAAGAAATCAGAATACCCTGAAACAGCTATTGTAATTTTTCCCGCGTTTAACGACTTTTATCTTGATCATTTCTTGGCCAGTTGTTTTGTCTTGGAAGTTTTTAACCCTGTATAGTTGCACGTTATCAGGTGAAATCTTGTGGACACCTAATACGTGTCTCTTGACTGTATTTAGACAGAAGTAAGCGTTACCGCAGACACCACAGAAATGCTCCTTTCGGCGTGTGTGTGTGATCGTGTGGCGCTTGAGTTCCGTTCGCGTTATTTTGCCGACACCGCAAACGTCGCACACGAAGGGCCGCTCTCCGGTGTGGATCATGATGTGCTTGCGACGGTTGGGGCGGGTGGTTAGGATGAGGTCGCAGTGTGGGCAAGGAAAGCGTCTACGCGTATCGATGGGTTTCAGTTTACTCTCGCCGTCCACTTGATCAACGCATTCTTGCTGCCCCTCATCCACTTCGTGATGCTCATAGACATCCTTGAGTGATTTTCTGTTGACGACATGATGGGCTAGGTTAGTGGAAAAGGTAGCATTGATATCGTCGTACAGCTCGTTCAAGTTAGTTGTAGTTCTCATGGTGATTCCATCACCTTCTGAGTTGGTGGGCTGAAAAATCTCAAGCTTTTGTGCAGTCATGTCAGCGGTATTTCCAGAAGCTTCGCGATGGCCAATGAAGCCAGGAGGAGGGAGCTCGCCACGTTGATTGGTTTCGCCGATTTGGGAAGCATCAACTGTTTGCCAATCTTGGTTGAATTTTTGGCTCGAGTTTTCAGATTCGTTCCAGTCATCAGGTTTGCTTTGAAATTTGTCCCGATCGTACGAGTTGGCAGTCATTTCGTTGGAACTCCACATGAATTTATGTTCGCAGGCCAAGTCATCTTCTCCCGAATCTCCTCTAATGATTTCATTTACGATTTTGGCGAAGTTAAAGCCGTCATGAAAATCATCTCCAGACATACTTGAGGCCTAATTTGACTCCAATATATGCACAAATAGAAAAGTTCTGGAAAAAAATAAAAAATGGAAATGTCCCTCTAGTTTAGAAACAAAAGTTAACAAAGAATGTAATGCGTGGCTTGAACAGCTAGAGATTGGCTTTCATCGTTTAAAGACTTCTACAAGGGTTTTTAAATTTTAAACGAGGTTCAACATTTTCCGAGACTTCACGATACTCACAGAGCCAATAAGCATTTCTGATTGAACATGATATAATAAACTACATCAAATTTTTAATAAAACGTGTTACAGGCTCTCCGTTTCAAATAGGATTAACGTTAAAAACGACATTTACTTTTTTCACTGTAAACTGAATGAGCAGGGTATAGGCATTAGAGAAGCAGTCCTCCAACTTTTTGAGGTCTGTTGATGCAATTGCTATGATTATTTCGAGGTATTCGTCCACGGTTCGTTCAACTAATACTGAATAAAAGCAGTAAATTCGTATAACCATTTAACTTACTTCCGAGCTCATAAGCTTTCGAATACAGTCGACGGCTGCTGAGACAGGTGGTTATTTGACAGTTAATAAATCGTCGCCGTGTGAGGCAGTTAACAATTCAGGGAAGTAAAATCACTAACTAACATTTCATGAAACCAGAAGCGTTTGCATGAAAATCGCCATAAAGACCTCGCGCTTAATAGAGGTCTACGTACCTCAATCCGGAAACAACTGCTCCACAGTTTAATATCTGACTTGCCATCAAAACCTTGACCTTTACAAGACAAGTATACATCGGCTGGAAACAGTTTCGTTATTCCTTACCCTGGCGCATTCTTGACGCCGGAAACGGAGGTTAGGATTTCTGGTCGTATACGGGGGTGGAGTGAGAACATTTTAATTTTCTGCTTTTTCTCTTACGGGCTAAGTTCATGCGCTATAAAATTTGTGAATATTAGGTGAAGGCGTCAGTCATTACTTGAAAATTATTGTAAACAATATAACTCCAGACAGTTGTTCTCGTTTGCGTGCGTTCTGATGTGTAAAGTGCCTCCTAAGAAAGGAATAAACCGATTGAAACTTAGCCTAACCTCATCCCACAAACCTTGTCGAACGCGGAGAATTTCAGAAAAAGGTATTGGAATATTCAGGCATGTTTCCAATAAATACAGTACTCTCTCTATATGGTAGAGAATTTACTCATATGTGTGAATTTCAGTAAAAGGCTCTATTCCGATTTATGAATGCCTTCAGGCCGAATGATCGCGCTGATCTTGCCTTGGCTGTCTAGCCTAGTAGTAACGAGACAACCCTTTGTTCCTCGTAAGGTAAATATTTTGCCGGCGTTCATTCTAGCAAATCCATGCGAGATTTATTCTCGCATGGTCCCCCGGTTAGACGCCGGGTTCCCACAATACCGGATTGTCTTTACATTTAACTTCAGGTTAAACCTCTCATAGTTAGGATATGAATTTACACTCTTCTAAAAAAATGATTTAGGCATGAATAGAAAAAATGATTCATGAACTGGTGTGCGAGATGAAATCTAAGCACTAGGGTTTTCCAATAGATTTTACACAATCAAGTCACTCATCACGTCACTGTTTAGTAAGAAATGAACAGACTAAATATGCAACTATTTTTCAACATGGCCCATATATATCACACAGAAACTGAGCGTAAATCTGACGTTCCTTGATTCGAAGCTATTCTTATTTCTCAATTTATGCCTACGATTGTTGAACTCGAGGCCAAGAGTCATAGAGCTGAGACCACATAAGAGTACAGGCAAACTAGACAAAATGCACATAATTAATGGTAGGTTTGAAGGTAGGTATTCTTGCCGAAATATTTTCACCAAGCTAGAAACGTATGCGCAATAAATACGTACGTGACGTCATCCACACATAACTGAAATTAAAAATAAATCCAAGTTACGAAAGTAGGACAAGCGAGACTAAGACGTTTTGTCATTTCATGCATTAATGTTCACTCACACTCGCCATGTGCTGATTATAGCTTGAAAACTAACCAATTGTTCGTGACTTTCGCCATGTGATGGCGAGTGGCCAATCACTTCCTAGTTTCATTAAGCTAAAAGAGCTCTGTGAACTTTATAAATCTAACTAATATCCAGTACTGCCACCACCTCTATGGCTGTGCCGTCTTTTCCTGAGTTAATCCTACAACCACCATTGTTTCGACGTTACTGGCATCTGTCTGTTGGAACAAAGAAAGTAATTACGACGTGTCAGGTTTCAAGGAGAATCCGGATCTGTGAAATTTTGGACAAGTATCGAAAAACATAGTCTAGTTTTTCTATTACATTATCCGTTCCTATTCCTTAATCACTTGATGGTCAATTCAAAATGTTTACGTGTAGTGTGTGGGTTCTGGGCAGGTCCGTCATAATGGTAACTTGTGTAAGAAAATATTCATCTCAAGTGTTTAGTTTGAATAAAGGCAGCTCATATCAAGCGTTGATTGCATTGAATTATTCATAGAAAGCTGTGACGCACGCTAATCTTTCTGGAATGAGCACAGATTTCTTTGTTAGGGTAACTAAAAAAAAGCGTTAACGCGTAGCTACCACGTTGGATTATATTTTGGGTTTTTTGACAAATTCTTATTATTTTAGCCGGCCGTGCCGTACATATTACTTCAATTATAGCTCTTCTTATAATTATTAGCAGGAAGAGACCCTAAATTGAGATTTTTGAATTTAAGACGTCGGGGTAAAGTTAGAGTATAAGAAGCAATTCCTTCCTATTTTTTTAATGATCACTCCCACTTATAATTATCCGTCCTAATGTTATAAGTGCTTGATTGCTTGAACATCAATGAGAAGAAGGAAGACACCGATGTTATTTCTATGTCTTGCCTTTCGCTGTGGCTTGTCCTTGTCTATATTGATTTTGCTTATTTCTGTATTCTTATTCTTACTGAGAACAATTGGATTATCTAAAATTTCTAACTTTCATTGCCGTTAGCGGAGTCTACCGTTTCGTTTAATCTGCATGTTTTCCTTTAGTAATGTCTTCTAATGGCCTGGTAAACTCGCATCATTTTGACATGATATTTGTGGAAACTAGGGTTGTAATACCGGATGTACCCGATTTCAATTCGCAATCCGGGCGAGTTCGCCAATTTAGTTTCCTGCGCTATTTGACTCCAAATATCCCGATAAAATAATTGGACAGTCGTGGAGCATACGAAACTGATTTACAAAAATTATTATTTTTATTCACTCAAATTTTTCATGAACCTCTAAAGTTGAGTGTTTTTTCACCTGCTTCCAACATCTTATAGCATCGTTGTTACCATCGCGCAAATATATTACCAATCCCAAGAAGAGCTCTTGACTGTGTGCTACGGTATCTACGGGAAAGAATTTTAAACAACAATTAATTGGAGTTTACCCAGAAATTAAAGGACGGCTACAATTTCAAACTTAAACTCGATCTGGCAATCTTGAGAATGAAAAATAATGAAATTTCATAATATACAAAATGGCTGAGTGTGTGAATCATCGGTAAAATACTAAGTTGCTATTGTCTGACAGTTAAATTTCTAGCCAGATTCCCTGAACAATTCAATTAGCTGTAATCGTTTCTTTAGATTACTTCAAATTGGAAGTATGCAGAGAAGACTTTCAAGAAATCTGAAGAAATCTCGAACTTATCCATTAATACATTCAGAAGCGTATTTTCCTGGAATTATTTTCCCGATAAATTGCCGTTCATTGCAACCTTTTGAGACACATTAGTTCTTTCTCCAACAGAATTTTACTCTATTGGGGAGTTTTCCGTCACTATATGGTAATGTTATACCGATTGTGTATATAAATGTACTAATATTAATGAGAAAATTTAAGTTGTATTGAAAACTGTCAGAACTCATTGCCCAGACTAAAGTTTGCAAATTAATGTGTTTTATTTTGTGTGCCTTTGTAAGCCTAACATTATTTGAAATGATAAAGAGTGTACAATTTACTGGAACGATTGATCTAATTCTAGTATCCTGACTACACGGGATCAGCATTAACACTATCCGTGGGTTGACCACAAATTTTTTGCATGATTTATTCAGTTGTAAATTATTTTAGAAATAATGTTTGTTTTGAGATGAACACCATGCATCACCGTTTGAGATGAACACCGTTTGCAAAATCCATCGAGTCATCAATTCGTATGAAACGTAGTTATAGATTGTTAGTCTGTCTCACAATTTCTCTCACGTAGCCTCTTCAGGAAGTAATTCGTATAAAAATCCTTTAAATTATCAAAATTTCGACGCATTCTAGTCGACAAATAAAATTATCTAGGAGCTGGAATGAATTGCTTGCTTAGGAATCGGTAGTGGTTAAATGCGTCAAAATCAAATTTCAATCGCATGATATGCTAGGAAAGAAGATGTTTGATGCCATTCAGCTTTAATTGATAGGAGCTTTCCTTTCGGAAACATCAAATAGCGCAACAGAGTAAAATTTCAATTAATTTGGTAAATTGATCTCTCTCAAAAGCAAAATTAGCCGCCGTCAATGAAAAATATCGTGACAAATATTCTCAAGACGCTCGTTTCGTGGGCACCATCAAGCCAAAGAATCATAAGCCAGGTGCTATATAACACCTCGGTATGAAAGTATTTAATTACTGTTATCTAATGACATATTTATTATAATATAAATGGTTAGCGAAAGTTCAACCATTGCATCACTGTAATCTCTAAGATTACTTACTGAGGCCACTTCGATAAATCATCCAAGTAATTATCAGCACCATTTACGATAATAAAAATAAGATAGTTGGCATTACATCTCAAGTATCGGTAAAAAATTTCATCAATTTATTTATGCACACCGACTTCCAAATATTCGAACAGAACAAATAATTAGATTCGTGAAATATTGATACGGGACTGGATGCCAGGAGTACTATTGCTTTCACAACATTTCTGTCAGGTTGCTTTACTGCTGAAATGTGCGATACCTCCAAGAAGACGGATCGTTACAATAGCAATGAATGGTTGCGTCAGCTCACAGGCTACGATGTTTTCTAGCCGTATATGTATATACTATACATGAATAAAATATACTCACCTATCACTAGAACTTGTGCCACCAAGGGCAGGAAAAATATCTTACTCATCCTGTCGCACGACAACAAAACTCGCGTGCGTCACACATTCCGGTCAATAAGAATTTGCTGTAAGCCTCGGAAGTAAGCGAGGCGTAATTAGGTCATTTGTGGTGTTTGGGGCAGTTGGTCACGCTATGGAAATAAATTCCTTTGAACTGATTCCAAAGTTACTTATCGTTATCGCTTGATCGTTATGATCGCCTATCGTTGTTCATCATTTTAAAGGGTTCACAAATATTATAAACTCATCCTATCACCAGCCAGGCACCCACGATCGTTCAACGTAAAATTTGAGACCCAACTGAACGCACGACATGCACACAGCTCGTTCCTTGTGCTCTATCGCTTATTATCTACGACATTATGCTGATATGCAATCACCGTGTATCTGTCGTGCATGAATAATTGAGAGTCCAGTTGTCTCCCTTGAAAACTTACGAAATACCAAGTTTATACTTTAGAAATCTTAAAAATATAAGGCAGCATTCCTGCTAGTTGAGCGTTATTCATTCATAAGGCCAGTCTAAATTACATCCGATTTGATTGCAGCAAAACTTTAATCTTTCCAGAGTATTGCTTGATGTTTTCCGCTGATATGCTGTCACTGAATAGTTTTATGTTCAATCTTTCAATTTAAACCTTGTGATATATTTTAATCAGAACTTTAACAGAGGAAACGGTAATAATATATTAGTAATCACACTGGAATCAGAACGGCTCTAAATTCTATTACAAAAATGAGATTCACACTAAATTTTGCGTCTAATTTGAACGAAATTTTTTGTGAGTGTAGAATTCCTTCAATTGTTTTCGTGTAAAACTTGTTAAAGAAATAAAAGATTTGTGATAGGCAAATTAAAAAAACGGGATACTATAGAAACATTGAACAAATGCTACAAGTCTAAAGCTCATTCTGTTTCACCAGTTACAAACCAAATTGCGACAAGTTATTTTATTCTTAGAAAATATGTACTTTAATGCGTATATGTGGTATAAATATTCAAACAAACGACACAGGACATGATCGACTTGACGAGAAGTGGATAAGAAGTTTCTGAACATCGCAATACTTTCATAAATCATTGAATTTAAATTTAGTCACCGTTAGGCCTTACCGGTCGCGACGTAAATAAACCACTTTCAATAGGTTTTGCCTCTTATTAAACAGAACACGTGTTTTAGTAGTCTTCTACCGCAGCCTGGAATCAACAGCCATGCCTTTTGCCCAGAACTGAGTCCGCATTTTGGTACTCTTCGCAGCGCCCGATTTCTTCACGAGTTGAGATGTTAGAACTTGTAGGTAGGCTACTTCTACTATTAGTACTATAATAATAGTTGAGTTATTACTAGTAAGCAAATACTAGGCACAATCTCCTAAACTTTATCTACCCTGACTCCTTCACCAGCAGCTCACGGGAGGAGTTATATAGTTCATCAATGCAGGAGCCACTAGTCGCTGACCCATTTAGGAGATTTTGATGAAACGCCTTCCTATGTATTTCGCCTAAAGATATAAAAAATAAAGATGTTCCCAAAGCAATTATCAAGGATGAATTCGTTCAGTATATGATGATGTCGTTATGACTAATTTTGAAAGCATTGGTTATGCTTGTGATTCATTTCGCTACCAGGTGATACGAAAAGTATGGAGGCTTAACTTGATCTAGTAAAGCATGAATGTACGGTTTATTCGACGAAGAATGCCCTCGATTTTTAGGGTGTAAGGTTTAGCAAAAACACCAGAACAATTGGAACAGGAAGACCGCGCCCACCTAAAGCAGCGAGCCCCACTGTTTATAATCGCCCGGCATCTATAATGGACAAAAATTATTACTCTGCTGATATTTAACCCCACAAATTTATCCAATCCAACGTAACCCTTCTTATTTCTCGACGTCCAGCAGCAAGACTTGCACTTATGTACTTCGTACCCAGAGGTCCTGCCCGGCACACACGACATTTTCTGAAGAGTTTTGCATTAGTGCACATTCAGCAAATTGATTCTCATTTTTACGTAAAAATTATGCGCGCTAGTTGGTGTAAAATTTTTAGTTGTGAACATAAAAGTAATTACTAAATCTTTGTAATATGAATGGAATTTCATTTGTTAATTTATAACATATTATCGTTAAACTAAAATAAAATGTCTAAAAAAAATTTTTAAAGACCACGTTTTTCATGTGGACTCAAAAGTAGAAAATAATTTTTCGGCAGCTACTGATCTCTGTTTGCTTTCATTCTCTTGGTCTTTTGTACTTCAGTTAAAATATTTTGCAACATCTAAAACGAAAAACGTGGGGCGCATATAATTGTTTGGTGATTACTTGATATGATGAATATGATGGTTCATTGAACATTTGATAAGTGTATTGCTGATATAATTAGAAATAGTGGTTGAATTCAAAATTGAAATTAAGGCATGCCTAAATGAAGATGCGCCCCACGTTTTTCGTTTTAGATGTAAAATATTTTAACTGAAATACAAAAGACCAAGAGAATGAAAGCAAACAGAGATCAGTAGCTGCCGAAAAATTATTTTCTACTTTTGAGTCCACGTGAAAAACGTGGTATTTAAAAATTTTTTTTAGACATTTTATTTTCTACTTTTTAGTTTTTTAAGTATTTTATTTTCTCATTTTTAGTCCGTTGCTACACACGAAACACGTTGTTGCGAGCCAATTTACTTGACTTGATGTACGTATCGATGATACGAAGCGTATCATCGATATACGCAGTCTAAACACGAATATCCTCTCGAGGATGACGTGCATTAAAGGTTCCAACCCCTGCTTGTGAGTTCCTTTAGAGTTTATACGCCTGGAAACGTGCAACAAATTATTGATTATTGTATTGTTATCGGGAGCTGAGCTTGCCTAAAAGTTTTAGAGCGCTAGCTAATGGGAAATTTTTAAGTTGGTGAAATATCGATTGCAAGATTTGATCATCACAGACACGAAAGCGAGCTAAGAAAAACGTGGTAATAGATCGATGATGGGAGTAAGAAATTGTAACGCGGAAAATCAGTTCTTCTCTTGATGTTATTAAGCTGAAATAAATGTCAATCGCAAAGCCTGAAGCAAATTAATGGCATGCCTCATAGGTGAAATGAATAAAACGCAGCATCATTTCAGTAATTTTAACTGGAGATCATGTTTCTTCAATGACACATTTCAATGGCTGTAAAGATTTTAATGCTTCCATGGCTATTATTTACTTACGAGATGTTATACGATACTCCCGTTCACATTTAATCTCAGATAACACTTGGCGTCTAATTTCACTCAGAGAATTACAATTTTGCACAAACAATTTTCAGAGATTGATACATCCACGTTGTGGCTCATGTTTGATAGTGGCATGCAACCAAGCTAACTAAATAACGGAGACAACATTTAATTGGGATTCTGATTTATGAAGTCGTTTAATTATAAAAATGTTGTAGTGTTAACTAACACTGAACTGCTTCAAAATTTAGTGGGTAAAAGTTTTCCTCATGTCGTAGATTAAATGTTCGTCACGTATTTTAGATACCAGGAAATAACGACCAAGTACATGCATTCTCTAATAAATATATACACAATTTCTTATGTTATTGTCATGGTCTATAGTAACACGCTCTCATCTTTCTTGTGCATTATTCCCATCTTCATCATGCATATGCTTATACTCTTTCCGTAAGTAAAAGTTGTGTAGAAAAAAACAACACATAAAGGCAGACTCCTAGACATGGGCTTTGGTAAAATCCTCCTTATTATAAGTTCCTTTATTCACAAGGACTTCCGTGGTTGGTCACTTGTTCATTTCCATCTGTTGTAGCGCCCGAAGACAAGGTAAATGCTAATTGGCTCATCGAGAATTAGAAAATCATGAAAGGAAATTATAATTTAACCTTTTGTCCAGTGACTCTAGTAACAAAGATTGGGCACTGGCAGGCGAATAGCGATTGCGACGGTATATGCATCAATAAACTTAAGGTTAAATGATTTCTCGCTAAATATCAATGCAGTGAGCTATAGCACAAAGGCTCACGAGTTTCAACGTTGATCGAACTGGTAATGTTGCAACCAACAAAAGGATTAGATTGGTTAATTTATTTCTAATTGATTACTTTAATTCTAATGTGAGTAATCTATAAGTTTCTGAATAGTTCTATCTCTCGGTGTCTTCGTATTGAGTGAATGAGAGACATTACATGCTCCGAATTGAGACACTGAAGAAACTGTAAGGCTCATTACAAGACTGTGTCCTCTGCGCCTGCACCAGAAAGGTCTTGTACGTGAGCAGGTAAAACGTTCCTAGATACATTAGAAGTATTCTGAACGATAACGCTGGCGAAATTGACAGAACTTCCAGCACTGCTGCGGTCATTTTTATCACCAAGGCAGAACTTATTCACGAGATCATTCCATACCTTCCACTTGCAATCGAAAGCTAAAAATATTGAAGTGCCTTGCAGTCCGTTCATGATTATGAATATATGCTCGGCCATTGAGGATTTCATGGCTATGGCGACGAAGCTCACAAGCCAAGTCATGCCCATTATCAAGGCTAATTTACAATAGAGCAAAAGACGGATTTTTAGCTCTCGGCGGGAAGCCATTCCCTTTTGCATCTTGTCTTTGAACTTGTCTAACGCGATTTGAGAATCACATTTCAAAAGTTCCAGTACTGATTGCTTGAATTCGAAGTTTGGATGTTGACTTTTATCGGGAGGCTCCAGCGGTGGGATTATAAGCTTCTGAGGGTATGTCCGTGTTACTTTAGATTTCACATCCTTACCTTGAGGTTTTTGTATTGTAGATGCAGCTGCTAAACCCGCCCTGTGTTGCCGATAAATATTGCTCACTGAAATTATGTATAAGACCATGTTGACGATCATAATGATCGTCGAAGGGAGCACATAAAAGACGAAGAAGCCCCACTTATTATTAAACCAGCAATGTAGAGTTCCAAACTCTGGTCTCAAGTAGTAGTGTCTGGGCGTGAGCAAATCCACAGCGATAGCAGTGCTCGCAAAGATCAGCGGCATGATCCATGCATACAAAGAATACTTGATGAAAAGTCTGTGCGACTTCACAGTAAACAGCGTTGCCCGGAATGTGCAGCAAATGTCAATGCTTAGAACGTTCATCCAAAAACACACACTAATTAGTGAATAATACAAAAATACAGATGAGGCATAGCAAAGGACTCTGTTATCATTTAAGGGAAATACTGCAGCAAGTAGAATGTATGAAACAAAAAGGGCAATGCTTAAAGAGCATAGATTTTTACTTGGAGTGTTTCGGCGCTTAGGTAAAGCAATAAATATGAAGATGTGTAAAATTAACCCCAATGAGGACAAGGAAACGAAGCAGCGGAAGGAGATTTTCATGGAAGTGGTCCAACGGTCCGAGAATCGGCATACTCTCACGTACCCGTCGTCGGCCACTTCGTACTCGCCATAGCGATACTCTTCATTAGTTTCGTTGACGTAGAGGCGGTTGTTGAGGAGTATCGTCACGTTGTTGATACTGTATGTGATGGCGAGGCAGTAGAAACTGATGTGAGAAGGAGCGTGCTTAGGTAACTTTATTCTGATAACTTCTACGTCGCAACTGTTGTTCACTTGAGCAGGATTGCACTGAACGGTGGAACAGAAACTTTGATCATCACTCACGTTTTCGGTGTTAGAACAATCTCCTTGCTCCATCTCAAAACCTACTAGCCTATGCCACCCATAATACGGCGATACTGAACGCGCCACGTTTGCAGTAAAAGGACACGTAATGTCACTTAGCTGAACGCCGTTACATATCGCGCAATCCCGGTTCTTGAATTTGGTGCCATTGGCGTCCATCACAATACCGAGATATTTTGGACACTCGATTGAATTTTTACAAACATTGATGACATTTCTGACGCAAGACCTGCCAATCTTTTCTTTCGGTCTTGCCACAAGCGCGCAAGTTACATTAACGTTATTTGAGGGAACCCATTCAAGTATGTCAGAAGTATTAACGACTCCAGTCCACATTCTGCGACCTTTTAAATACGTCATTGTAGACAAATTCTGCCGGTTTCTCAGTGGGTACGAGCAGACAACCGTTGCGAAGCGACTAGAGTACACGTTTTCGTTATGGCAGCGAGCACAAAAGGCGTTGCGGTAGACCAAGTTGTGGGCAGATGCTGACGCCACTGGGATGTCCATGACGGGGCTGTACTGCTCCGGCGCCACGTTCAGCTCACACCTCATCGCGTCCTCCAGGTAAGATTCAGCGGGACAAGAGTCCACGGCGTACACGCCCTGTAGGTTATTTCTTATTTTTAGATGGTTTTAAATTGTTATATATTATATGTATACTAAAATATCATATTATTTAAATTAGTAATTTATTAAATTTCAAGGTTAATAAATTACGTTTTACCAACACTCTTCAGGTTGAATTAATATGGAAGTAATACAAATCGATTACTTAAAAAACAAATTGCTTCAACAAATGCCAAAATTAGTGTTACTGAACAAATGTTACAAGAATTCTATAAATAGACGTTTTTAGGTGCGTTATGTTTTTTACTTATTCGAAGTTCAGAACTCGAGTATTGTTTTTTGGGAATGAGCCCAAACCTTCTCGCTCTTTCGGAAATTCTACTCTCACCAGCGGAACCAACTTCCGCAAATACGAATCATTCAACCTCATCAATCGTATACGCATTTGCATGGAAACGTATACAACATACATACATGCATATAATATTTTCTATACAATATACTATAAACATATATTTTCTCCGACTCATATATGCATCAATAAACCTCATAGGGCAGCGTGGCCCCCGTCGACTCCAGGCACAACCAAGTGTCCGGGGGCGGAGGGAGCCCCAGCTCCGTCTCCCGGTCCTCCGCGTCGGGATGGCGTAGCGCGCCTCGGTCCCTGAACTTTGAGTCTTCGCAACAGTCTCCGTAGTAGGAACATAGAGGGTCACACTTGCACGCAACGCTGTGAACAATAAGTTAGGTACCATCATCAACACACTTGTGATCATTAGTTTACTATAAGGCTGCTGGGATAAAATTGACTAGAAAATAATGTTATCTTGAATTGATGTATCGCTCTGAGAGGAACACAAATGCAACGTTGATGTATCGTTCAGTTCAGTTGTCAAATATGTATCGTAGGATGGTGAAATGCGAGGATAACCGCACCTAATGCCATGTATGATTGATCATGACCCCTACGCTCACAGAGAAAAATGTGAGTCCAGTGCTTGACCGATCATTAATGCACGTGTGTGATACTACCAGATAACACATACAGTGTATATAATACCGTTACTGATTGAATAGAGACCAATTTCATCGTTTTAGGAATTAATTGAATTGCTAAATTTCATGCTCGTTTGTGAAGGTGAGAGCTGGACCCACTGATGTGAGTCGTCAGAACTAAACCATTAATCGAACTGTACAGATGAGGCAGTTACTGAGGATATTTCTTCGAACGTCTAAAACTGCAGCAGAATAAGCATTATTTGAAAGAACCGAACTGTCTGTCATATAATACAAAAATCACGGCAATTTTACTAAGCAATCAATGCATAAAGTTTCCAAATGCGAGTCAACTTAAATGGGATTTTTAATACGCAGTCTTTCCGCAGACTTGATTGCCATCTCGTGAAGCAATACCCGAGTGTACGACCATTGGACTTTGTTGCCATTTTAATTCTTTTAGTCAACCTTTTCTTTCACTCTCATGCAAAATATAATGTTTTATTCCGTCGACTTGTACTTCATGCATTTGAATTAATTTTGCACAATCTACACTTTCAAATTCGTGTCGCAGTTTTTATTTTTTATTAGTTCACAGGGTTGAATAATTTTTTCGTGTATGGGATGGAAATCCATGATGGAAATTTCCAAAAAATACCATACCAACGTTTTTTAAGTAATAAGAGATTGTAATGATTTCTTATTCTGAATCTTAAGCTTGCTTCACATGCATGTAAGCGACGGCAGAACCTGATCGCCTCTGGTATCCACGCAACAAACTACAGAAAGTTAATTTGATCGAATAAATTGATGCGCGTTTGCTATTCAATAGGACGTTAAGAGAGAGTGGAGATGGGAGGTTGAGTCAGTGAACAATTAATCCGCAGCTATAGTCGGCATGCTTCCAATTGGCTTTCGTTAATAATGGAAATCGATTGACGTAATTTTTCGAGTTCACGCTGAATTTAATTGTTAAAGGTTGAATTTAATATGAATTAGCAATAAAAATTATTAAACAAGCACTTAAATGCATGAAACCTCACCTTTCAGACGTGGTCGCTGGCGACCTGGCCTCACAGGAGTTAAGAGGGCAAAAAAGAGAAGAAGAAATTGTCTTCGGGAGAGCTTCCTCCGGGGCCGCCGACCTAACGTCTCTCCAGCGCACATCCAGAGTGCTGATTGAGGAGCCCTCGCTGTCTTCCAGCTGCCACTGTCTTCCGTCCTGCAAGTCATGCTTCTCGCCGGTAACTAGATTCCAGGTCCTGCCGAACGGCGACTCCTGCTCCAGCTTCCATGCAGGAACGTCCTGCGGCTTTTGCTTAACATCGTACAGCAGCCGGTGCAGAAATGCTGTCGTGTGCGTGGCGGAGTTGATATCCTTTTGTGATAATGAGCTTAGGTGAATGCGGCAGAATATGAAAACAAAGAACAGGTAGCATTTTTCATGAACCATTATTGTGGGACCGGGTGTAATTTCGCGGATATTACATAAATACGAACCAATTGTTGGAAGCCATCATGTTTCATTCTTTTCTGAATGAGCTGTCTTGATGATTGACAAGTGGGGTTTCTTGGAGCAATAACAAGTTCATAATCAAGTTAAGAATCAATTCTCACCAGCATTTTTACATCATTTTATGAATTCCTGGAACATAGAAAAATTATCTTATTTGCAAATGAACAATTCTGACATATGAAAAATCCTCAAGAAAATTCATAGTCGGAGAAGACAATCGAGTTCAACATACTTCCAAACTCTCGCGCTGAAGTGTTCTCTTATTGCTTAAACTGGGAAATTTTCCAATATAAAACTCACTGCAATGCATTTTTGCCGCACAATCTTGGATAGACAAACAAGTTTTTGACGGGTGCATGTCAGCACCGGAACCACATAGTAACTTGCACACGAGCCTACGAGGTCAGTATATTTATGGTTGAACTAAAACAAGGTGACCTTCTCGACCTTGCAGATACCGTGTATTGAAATGTAAATGTAAACTTCATTCAAAAAGTGTCCCCTTTGAAGTACCTTTATAACTCATCTCCTCGAAACCTCTGTACAAATGTTCACAATTTGTCAACTAGCTTTGTTTAACACATTGCCGGTGTCAAATGCAATTATTTCGTGCGATTCATCAAATAAGTGGATCAAACAAGCGTGCCCAAATAAATGGAAAGGAAAGCGACCAACCGAGTGCATGGACTGACTTCTTATGGTTTCTAACGAGCTCTGTTTTCTAGAGATCGCTCGCTAACTACCTGATATCACCGTAGTTCACTTTCCAAGGAAAAATGAGAGAAAATAATTTATTAGAAATAAATTCTGCTATTGGATGCATCAGTGGAACTTTCGAGAATTTCATAGATTCCAAGCAAATGATTTCGATGCGGAAAAAATAGGTGTGGCCCAATACGTTGACCTAAGCTTCTCCTTCTGTAAAAAATTATGACGCGTGAATAGAACGTCAACTCAGGGGATGCATGTGAATACATACCATGTCATCATTTATAAATGATACATGTCTGATGATACAGCAGCTCCGGAAACTATTAACAAAATTATAATTCATGTACGTGGCGTCCGTACCCTTCCGTTTTTCATGTCCTAAGTAAATTTGTTCAATTTATGATAAGCTGCCAGGTGCGCCGTAATCGCTGATAATGATGTCTCGTGAGACCCTCGTAAGTCTCGTGATGGACACTAAATCTCAGCCTCTGGCTCCTGCTCCAGCCCATGCTGCTCTTCTTGCATCCCTACTTGCGAAAACCATCAATCAGATTAATTCATTTTCCTACCTCTTAAATCATTGATGGAATTACGAGAAAACAATACTGCCATCAGTTTCCGCTCATAAATCACCGATTCATAAATCATGTAGGTTTAAGCCCATGTTCGTTGAGATTTAGGCCATAGAATATTATTTACGTCAATATATTTCTGTAATCTTCATTAGCCCTAACGTAAACTCGTCCGCAACTCAAATTATGATGCCGCTCGCGCCCTGCTCAGGCTCCGACTGGCTCAGCTCTCTAGGAACTTGCTCATAAATGCCATAATTATCTATGAATCTATTTCTTTGAGGAAAAAATGCCTTAACGTATGTGATAATATCTACACGTAGTATTTATCTTTAGCTTGTTCATTGGTTATACATACCGCTACGCTACATATACATTTTATTATCATGCGTGCCGTCGAATGCTAGGGGACGCTCACTTTTCAATGTAAAAAGACAGAGTTCATTGCTATAAGTATATAATGAAGTCTTTTATGCTGAAAAAATACAAGCAGAGTTAGTGAAATGAGTAAAATTTCGTACGTACACCGGAGCCACGAGTTACGGACGTCCTGCCTTATGATCAAACCAACTTGCTAACCGTCAGATTTGAAAAAATTAGATCAGTACTCACTGCAGTGACAGTGAGCGTATTTTCTCGTCCGTCCGTGAAGTCACGGACAGACGGACGGAAGGACATGACGAGCACAATAGCGCCTTTTTTCCATAAATGAGAAAATGCGCTTTGTCGTGCGACTGTGGTTTGATGTATGACCTGAGCACTGCAAAAACGTAGTGAATTCGCATAAAAATCTATAGATGATGAGAGAAGAAACATCAAGACACGCTCCCTGCATGCACGCGGGTTGCCGACTTAGCGAAGTACAGTATAATCGTGAAAGGAATGACTTTTATTGAAACCCGACAGTCGACACAGATCGAAGTCCTTTCTACTAATACCAATGGTATAATAAATAGGTTTGCTTTACGAAAGGATCATTTTACGACCCCTGGTCCTGCCCGAAATAAGATCATAGGGCAGGGTTTCATTTTATTTTTATACGATCTTCCTCTGGCAAGTCGTTTTGAAGTATGCAGTCTCGGCCTGTCAACTTTTATAATAAACACGTAATTCACGTCATTATCCAAACTTAGTCAAAAGCGAGCAGGAGCAAAGTAACTTATCCATTATCCAGCATTGCATGGCGATGAATGTGAATGTGCAGACGTCATATACCAGGCGTAGCCAACGCGGACTTTGTCAGTGGACTTGTGAGTCTCAGATATTACTTCTTATGACTATTTAACTCGCGGTAAGCGATACTACAAATATGCGTGGACGAGAACTGATTTCATATCTTTTGCATACGGTACGTACTGCCAAGAAGTGAAACGAAGCCAAAGACCGAACATTAAGACGGAGATATAACTTAGCCTCTAAAAATTCAAGATTATTCACACATTTCATGCTACGGGAAGATAAGGGAAGCAGCTCTGCACGCAAAAAATTTCGTATTGGAAATAAACTTTAATGGTTGAAGGGAACGTGGTTTCATGAAAACGATTAAAATCATATAAGGATAATAATCGCAAACAAATAATTTTCTAAAAATAAATGAGAATTATGTAGATAGAAGCTCATTTCCTACTTACACTGTCACTAAAACGGTAGAATTTTACAAATTCTGCAAACTTGACTGTATACAAGTACGTGGATCATGGATTGGCCTATAGTCAATTGTTTTTGCACATCAATCCTCATTAAAATCACCGAACACCTACGTACTGGTTTTGATTCCAATTTTGCCACAAACTTATCCACTCGAAATATTAATAAATTGAAAATTTTTTTGTTATTTGTTGTGATAAGTTTAGTATTTGCCAAAGGTTGTAAAACATATAGAAGATTGTTGTTTGAAAACTTCTGACATAAATGAATTTAATAGATACTTCTTGCGCAATTTTTTCTCAAAATTTTGAAAGTTCGGCAACATTTCTTTCACGATTTGAAACAATACGAGGCAAGGTTTCTGCGGACAGTAAATAAGACACTTAATTAAGTTCACAAGGTCCTGTAACTGCACCATTGCTGTTGCACCAACTGACCACCGTTAGCATTGGAACACCTTCAGCTGTTCCTGATTGCATCATTCAAATACGCAATGTCCTCGTGCCGAGACCTTCATAGAGAAGAGCAAAGAAAACTATTGAAAAGAACATGAGGCTTGATCAAAGATTCTTTTGGTAACGATCTTGATCTTCAAGATATCTAGTCAGCATCAAGCGAAAAAATTTCAGTGCATCGAGCCTCTCAAGATATAATTTATTTATTTTCCTTTTCACTAGACACGAAAGTGAGAAGTTCATCTAGTTATATAAAATAAATGCTTCGAGTAGAAATTTTCGGTCCCAACCGAATTCGTTGGTTTGGCAATAATTTCTCGTCTTTGCAATTAAGTTGTCTGTGGTCATCTGTAGGTATAATTACGGAGTCGTGCAAAAAATATCTCATGCACCAGCCCAAAGCATTCAGTAAAGCAAAGTGATTTTAAATGCAGTGCGTTGCCCTATTTTCGTTATAATGATAAACTCGTTCGTGCAAAACTACTCTTCTTTATCCGTATTTCAAGTATTCAAGTATTTCAAGTATTCGCACCATATAACATGAAACCATTTTAATCGTATAAATATAAGTAAAGAGCACCGTTATATCTTGCATTTCTCTCCTATTTATCATTGTTTTATAATTTGTTGAGCTACTTCCTATCAACAGATTGATGTATTAGGTTGATTTTACAACCGAGCTGCTTCGAGAATTCGTTTTGCCGCGATGGCGTCGAGAGATATATAGAATTTAACAGAAAAAATTTTAATTAAAAGAGTTTAACATCTACTCAATTACCATCAATCACATGATTCTCGATCAAGAATGTCCAGTCTGAAAAATGGTATGTGTCCATGCATGCATGACGGTATCGCATGCATGCATGCACGCATGATGCACAGCACAAAAGTTATGGCATATAAGATGAATGAAATGAAATGAAATGAAAGAGAATGAAAAATTGTATCTCTATGTTAACTTAAGTAACGAAAACCAAGAATTTCGGTGCGTTACATCGCTTCAACAAAATCCCATGTTATAGCATATAGATTTACACAACATAAGAACTGTTTCTGGATAATTATGATCTGGAAATAGATTATGTTTTGACTATGACACAGAATCTATGACTAAAAAAAGCCCTCAATGTTTCTGCATAAATATTTTGTTCCTATAATGTCATTTGATGTCAAATCTATAAATTAGCATTTTTTGGCCCAGAGATATTATACCCGTAAAGCATATATCATAAGTTTCTAATCAGAATTCCTTAACATTAATTACTCTCATGTCCTGTTAGTTAACTGGGAACTCTTCAGACACGGTACAGGAAGAATAAGGACAACGCCGCCTGGAATTTAGCGAGTCATCTCGGCAAATGAATGGCTCCCAAACTACACAAGACCTTCAGCAAAATCATCAAAGGAAACGTTAACTTTTATTCAATCTTCGTGGGTCCTACAACGCGAAGGCAATCTGCGGTCATTTGCCTTAAAAATGTCACTAATGGAGGCTGATGTCACAAGTTTCGTCTTTTTTTGTACCCGGAAATTCCCGTTCACAAGCTTCGTGCGTACAGTCACTGTTCTTTTCCTAGCTTGTGGCCTACTCCCAGTAAGGAGGGCAACTTTTTCTTTGTTACTTGAGGTGCACGCGGGCCCTAGGAATGAAAGATATAACAAATTGGCGTTTATTTTCGAACGTTAGAGCTCGAGCCCTAAAATTGTCCTGTTCATTCAATAAAGCTACGTGGTTTTACTCGGC